AGATCTTCATGGTCTGTAGTGCCAACCGAAAAAAAAAAAAAAGATAAGTTAAATTATATATACTTTCCCCTAAATGAGTCATATAAACACCTGTCTTATAAACTAAAATATATACTTAATCTGAACTGCTTATAATGAATAGTTCCCAGGTTGTTTAATAAAACTCATATATCACTAATAAAAAAATAAAAAAATCATCTCTTTATTTCTTAGGAACAAAATAGGAAATTTTAATGTTGAATGCTTTATTCTCTCTTCACAAAGAAAGATAGAAAGGGCGAAGCTGTATGTTCTTAATTATTAGTATTTAGTATAAAAATGAGAGAAAGCGCAAAATTGAATCCAACAATTGGAAAAATACATTAAGAGAACATGTAAGGAATTGTCAAAATCTCGGAAAGAAAAACAAGAATCATTCATTATCTATTATGTAGCTAAACGAATATATATTATACAGATGAAAAGAATATTTCAAGGAGCTGCTAAAAGGAGGTCAAATGCTGGGACGGTTTGGATGATATTAAGGGGACGATGGAGGTTTAATATGGTGACGACCATTTATTTTATTTTCGATTGCTACTTGAGTTGCACACTAAGATTATATTCACTTTGAAGCAGGATATAGAGAGGTACATCGAGAAAGAGTTATAGCTCGATTATAAACTTATTTATAACCCTATTTATAATAGGGTTATAAATAAATAGTTCTCCTTCTGTTTAGTGAATTTGGAAAAGATCTTTGAAATAATCAGAAAAGAAAACATATGAGTTTTTCTGAAAGTCGAGTATTTTTTGCACAATCCAAATTGTGAGGCACTAAGTAGATAGAGAGCTATTTCCCTTTCTCGATGGACTTCTCTATAACCTGTCATAAAGTAAAGATTGTCCCGATGTACAACTTGAGTTTCTCAATCCATATCGCTCTGGCAATCGACGATTTTTCTTATTCTAGCTTATACGATTCTTTAGTAGAGGTTTTTTGGCACACTGGAATGGAATGAATCTCGATGTGTATTACATTTCCTGGTATCTCCTTGCTTGTAAAGGGACAAAATTAAATTCCTATCGTATGATTTTCTTATGGTATATTATTCAATATACATTGAAAAAGTGGAGAAATATATCTTCATATTTGTTGCCTATGTACGCGCAGCATTTTGGTTTATTTAATAATCTTTCATGCTGATAAAATGGTCTTCACTATAATAATCTTCCACCCATCCCCTTAATATCATCCAAACCGCCCCAGCATTTGACCCTCTTTTAGCAGCTCCTTGAAATATTCTTTTCGTCTGTCTAATATATATTCGTTTAGCTAAAAATTATTGCATTGATATTTGTTTGTTAATAAGATCAATATAATGTACCATAAACGTTATTATAACACTATGCCATTTATAGGTACTGAATGATGTGGCAAAGACCTGTAGGCACCTACGCCAGTACCGCTTTTTCGCTGATTAAGAGAGTTTTTTACAATACCGCTTCAAATATTTAAAAAAGAAACATATTCTCCAGATATTTTATTTCAGGACGTTTTCCGTTATTGTTGGCTGTTTAATTGCAAACGACGCTTGATTTTCAACTTGAAAACATTTTTTTTTGTTAAAGTTTAATTTACTGGTATGTTTTATTGGCTCAGCCAGTTATTTTTTAATAATATTTCATGTTTTATTATTCTATGACAATCCAGATTTAGTGGAAGGCCAATTATGATGAAATTAAGCCAAATGCTGATTCTCAGTGACTAAAAAGCTAACTTAAGTCAAAGTCGCCAGTCCGCCATCTTTAGGCGCCATTTTGAGGCAGTGGATACTTTTTTTTTGTGGGAACATTGTTTTTTGTTTTGTTTTTTAATATATAGTTACAAGGAACACAACGATATGCAATTTAAAGGGATGTGTTGGGAGGAATGCACGGTAGGGAGTCAGGCCCACCGTGTAATGCTTGTACCTCCACTATGTTATTTCAGTATTGTATTTAATGTTCTCAACTGAGTTGTATTTGAACTTTCCACATAACTTTGGCTAATATTGATAATTTACAATAATAATTTTCTTTTCTATTCAAGCACCACATTGTTTCGATGGAATGCCAATTTCAGAATTTAGAGGTAGGGGTGCCCGTTAGGGTGAAATGTAAAACACTTTTTTCGGATGACAAACTTTTTAATCGCATTCAAAAGTTGCCTTTTTATGTCAATAAAAAACCCTAAAAATTTCGCTTTTTTATACTTATCATCTTAAGAGGCTTAAAAATAAGGTTTTTGTTCAAAACATTGAAACTTTGCATTAATTTGTTTTTTACTTTAGTAATACATTTTTTAAATACAAAATTTGAATTTAATATCTAGCAATAGATCCTTCTTTACTATAAAAACTAATTAAGTTTGAAAACTCTAAATTTATACTTAGATTTTTCGAAAAAATATTAAAAAATTACCTTTTTACCATCCAAATCCTCTCGTTTCTAGCCTTGCTTCCTCTTCTATTCCAGATAACCATCCGAGGCGTCTGAAAAGAAGATGGCCTCGTGATCTCCTTATACAGACATCTGTAACAGACATATTATTAGAGTGCTACCAGTGGATAGTTTCTCAACAAGCGTTTTCATGTGATTATATTCCTGTGTACACATTTACTTGATGTATTTATATCGTAATACAGTTGTAAATATATTGAATAAATAGATTAAAAAAATTAAACTTTTACTTTAAAATTATTGTTTAAACACAGTTTTTAAAACAATAACATATAAAACACATTTAAAAATTAATAATAACAATAATGAACTTAAACGTTATTTTGAGTATTTCGGTTTTAAAGAGATTTTAGAATTAAAGACAAATGTCGTCAAATTAAAGAACAATTAATACATAATTAATAATTAGTGTCCTGAAAACAATGTAAACATTAAAAAATATTCTTTTATTTAATTAGTTTTTCATTGATTTGATTTTAATTTCAAACTGAGATAAATTTTTTTGTCTCTAATTTCTGCATGATCTTTTGTATTGCAGTTTTTAAAAATTTTTAGAAAAATCTAACGAGACGGTACAATCATGAATAAAACCCTTCTCCTCCCCACGCCACTTTCCAACACATTTTGTTGCTCTCCTCTTCTTAATAAAGTGCAAGAGATAGAAGAATTAGAAAATTCGTAAATCATATATAATTATACTTGGCGTGGATTGTTTCATGTTTTTCCCTAGTTCTCTAGTTTCAAACTTTTCATTCCAAAAATTCATAATCTCTTAGAAATGTGTACCCTTAAAAATTCAAAACTCCGTCAGAAAGTGGTCGAAATTGCAAATGAAAAGGAAGGAAAATTACTGATTTGACTAAAGGAGAAAATGTAGGGAGTTTCAAGAAACCATTTTGAAGGGGCCACATTTTGATGAGGTTTTAAATTTTTTGGGGGAGCACATTGCGAATGGAATATAAATTTTCGGAATAAAAAGTTACACCAAAGAACTAAAAGAAACAATATAGCAATCCTCAGCAAGTGTCTATGATTTGCGAATTTTCTGATTCTACTTTCTGTTCTGTTTTTTTTTAACAAGAGGAGAACAATTAAATGTCTTGTGATGGCAGTAGGAAATCCTTGCTCCATTGGTCTTAGGAGGCATCCTTAATCGGCATTGGTTTTATTTTTTGTAACTATTTGAATTAAATGTTTAACCATATTTTTTGAGTTTGAAGTATATTATAAAAAATATGTTTTGATCATGGTGAATTAGAGGTGGGGCACGTTCCTAAACACTGGACTAAGCTCATCTATGGCATCGTCTCGTATGGCAGTTTAGAGACCGATCCGATGTCATCGTTGAATTCAGGGCTAAGCTTAAGACTGTTTCCAAGATTAGTATTACCGTCTATTCTTTCACCTACCACCTTCTCCTTTCCAATAAATGTCAACTTTTATATTTGTATCATTATAGATAATGTATTTCGAAATAAAGATCACAATCAGATAATATTAACTCATGTTATTGACTGAATTAAGGTCAAAATAAATATAAATATTGTTTACTTAATGTAAAAAAAATTCTAGAAGTTTGCCGCTTTCTAAATTCTGCCTCACAGGGCATCTACTCCCTTTGTCTCTCCCTGGTAAATTCTCCCAAATATAAAAAATATATATATAAAATAAATATGGGTCTATTATTTCTCTCCTTTGCTTGCATATTTTAAGAAGCAACTTAAAAGACATTATGTAATTTCCCTTTTTCAAGGTTGTAGGTCTAAGATCAATACACCAACGATCCCGTTGAATACACACAGTATATTTATCTTGATAAGCACTGACATACAATACGATACCCAATACGAAACATTGAAATACAAATACTCAATATAATATCTTGATATTGATCATATTGTTTTATTTCTGTTATTTATAATCGAAATGCCATAAAATTTTATTTTTATCTTTTAACAATACAACTTAAATTTTCTTATAATCAGGCTAAAAATAAAAATACGTTGATACTGAAACTGAAAAATTTGGAACAAACTTGAAACTTGAGAATTCAAATAATCATAAACTAATATTTTAGGAATGTCAGAACTTACTTAACATAAAACGGATTTTTTTTTGTTGAAATAAATGTTTATAATTATCATTAGTCATTTTCATTCGATTAATCCCAAACAATTTATCATTTAGAATTATTTCTTTATGTGATCGGTTATATTTGCTTATGAAGAAGTTGTGAACATAATAAAAAAGATCCTGCCAAATGGAACTAGACGATATCGACTATCAGTTTATAATAGAACGTTATTATTTCAAGATCATTGAGATAATGTGATACCTGTGATAATGGGAACAAACAACGTAATGTGACAGACATCTACAGATTTAAAGTTTAGTACTATTTACGTAATGGTTTTTACAATGAAATATCAAAAGCAAGAGTACAGAAATAGATATTGTCACTAGTAAGAATGGATGGTTTATTTTGTAAATGGAGACTTTATTTTTTTGTAAACTTTATAGTTTGAAATTTGGAGGGAGAATATCGGGTGACTCATCAACCCACTGACTGCTGAGCACGTCAGGTTGGAACAGGTCTGGGTAAACGTCCCTCCGTTTTCAATACAGTTACGAATAGTGATAATTCCAAGCCGTTTGATAAAAAAGTGGTCGGAGTTATGCCCTGGACAATGATGAAGATAGGTTTGTCATTGAATCCTAAACAACAATATTGAAAGAAAATTTTTATTGTGCGCTGTATTGGATATTATTTATTATTGAAGAGGGGATAAGTGAAGGTTATGATGTAATTTGCTATACAGAACCTCCGATTTGAGGTTGATAAATATTTTTTTAATAACGCTGGGTTAATTGACAGATTAACATTTGTTTATCTTCTATATGATTATTTATTTTTGTCCGAAAATGAGATTTTAAGGTGTGAAAGATGATGACATTAAAAACCATTTTAGTTTTGATTTCTATTTCATGTTTTGTTAATTTTTGTGATTCTGGCAATATTGAAGTTGAACAGTTACCATTTTGTAATACTGGCGATAGCTCTCAAGAATTCAAAAAGTAAGTTAACATTCACTGGTTAAATTGTAAACAGACAGTTTCCTTGGATCATGTTAATTTATCCTTATGTGTAGACTGCTGTTTGTCAGCACACTTGATGGAAGACTATCAGCATTAAACATCGAAAAAGGTGGAGCAGAAAAATGGAGTATTACTACTGGTCCTATGTTGTCTTCTAGTATTCACACTTTAGAGGTTGGAGAATACATTAAGATAAATATTTTCCTATTTGTACACTAAGGTTCTTTTTCGAACATATAATTTTAGGTAACATATACTATAGTGGAGACTTTAAAACTTATATACAAGTATAAGAGGCAGTTATACAGTTACTCGTGCTGTTCGCTACTATTTCACTGTTAACATGTCTGCTTGACGGTTGGTCAAGATCACGTTGATCTTATCGTAGAGAATTTCATAAGTAATCAGATGTTAACAGTGAGGTTCACGGGTGAACTCATAATCCTTGCTCAAGGGACAAAAAAAAAAGTGAGTCAATTCTGTTTGAAGTCAGTCAGTGCCTCACCGAGCAGGTGTGTTCTAAGAAAAGATGAATCCTTTACAGTTAATCATCAAATGTTATCCGCAATTTCTTTATTAGAAAGGTGTCAATATCAATCCTATCCTTGTACTTTTGGCAAGGCTAACCACTTTAAGATTCTATGTACGATGTAATCTTTACCAACATGTCAAACATGCAATACATACACTTCTGAAATAATGCATATTATTGTTTTTGATCTGTACTAGGCATTCAAATTTGTTGCCTCCGCAGCATATAGAGACTTGAACCATGTTCCTTTTTTAATTATGGTGACTTCTTATTTCGTATTGTAGCTCTTGAGAGATTTTTCCGTGTTGATAATATTTCATTCAAATAGTAAATATATATTTGTTTTTTACGAATCAGTAATTTTTATTCAAATGTGTGTTTTTTAGTTAACCAACAATGGTCAGTTCGTTCGTATGATCCCATCTTTAAGTGGAGGGCTTTATAAGTTTAATGGTGATAGTGTTGAAGCTATTCCTGTAACTGCTGATAACCTCTTAAAATCTTCATTTCTGTATTCTGATGACCTTGTTATATCAGGTAATTTATAAATAGATATATGATAACTTAAAAAAAAACAAAAGTGGGATGATTTCATTTGTTCTTATTCTTTTATTTATTTAATCTTGTAGTTCTTAAAATAGTACTTCTATATATTAACCAACTTCCTTCATCATGCCAAAGAAAAGTATTAGATTGTCATATCTCTTTACTGGTATTGATTTCTACTTCATTGTTCATATCTTATCTTAAAGCATTAATAATGCAAAAAAAAAATTTACTACCAAACCATTGAATGTATAACCACAAGAGTATAATAGGTCTCATCGAACTTACATAATGTCTTGACCTTAACGATAATTCACTTTACTTAGCCTTAAAATGTATATATCATGCATTAATAAAATTTTACTCACAGCAATAGCTGATTATTTTCTAAATATATAGCTGATCATCAATCAAACTTAGGCAATCTTGAAAAATCAGCAGGTTTTTCGATTGGTATTCCAAATAAAAAAATAAAGAAGCGTATATGAACCTCTTATAACATACTTGGATCTCAATAGTTGATCAAATATGCTATATTTTTCAGTTAGGCATACTAGCTGGTATTAAGTACACTTCTGCATGGAGGCTTGTGCCTGGAGGAAGTTAGTAATCCTTGGGGTGGTACCGTTTTAAACCAAAATCAAAAATACTATTAATCTTAATTTGGAAAAAAACCTGTGCCACTAACAACTCATGAAGGGTCTTGGGTTCAGTATAATGTGAAGAAATGATGCTACAAGGCCAATGGTTGTGCAGGGAAGTGATTGGATGCTAAAAATTTCCACGTTTCCCCCCTTAATTAACTAAGAGTACCCACTTAGTAGATGCTTGGTTTGCCCCAGGAGGTCGATCTACAGCTGATGAAAAATTTCTAATCATCAGCTGGATTCGAACCTGTGACCTTCAACTCTGAAAGTCAATGCTCACCCACTGAGCTACCCCGCTCCCAATCTGAATTTAAACTCAACTTAAAATGTTGTTTGACTATTGAATCTTACTAAGTTAAATTTTCTTCAATTCTATTATAGGTGGGAAGGAGAGTAAAACTTATGGTGTTGAAGTTAGCACTGGAAAAATTCTTTATGAATGTTCTATGTCTAAATGTGATAATGAATCCAAAAGTAGTCCAGTTGGTGATGTTATTGTTGTTCAACGCCAAACACAAACAATTAGAGCTATTGAACCCCGCTCAGGCGCTGAAAGGTTAATTTTTATTTTATATGTGGTTTATTCGCTTGCTTTATATATATATTACTATCTTAATCTTCTTTTATTTAACACTCTATGGACCAAAATATTTTTGTAATTTATATATTATTAAAATGTTAATTAGTAGCCAAACACTTTTTTATTAAATTTACCTATGATTATTGAAAATTATAGTATTATTGTACGAAATGAGGAACTTGTTCACTGTTTGCCCTGCAAATCAGCAATTTTTTTTCACTTCTGTGGCCTTGACCTTCCTCGTTTGAATAATGCCTGGAAAAAGAGTCCAAAATAATAATTTATGAAAAATAGATCAAACAATCTCAATGTTATTGCTTAATCTTGGGAAATCTATCTTATTTTACTTATAATTATACTAAAGCCGCAACATTTATCATAATTGTCAACTGTCATGTAAGTTGAAAATGACTGGCAGTTCACAGGCCAGGTTGGAACTAAAAATATTCAAAAATACATTTATGTCTTGGTTATTTTGATTATTATACTGCCTAATTATAATATAAAATATATTATTTCGAGATTTTCATTATAAATTATTTAATACACAGGTGGAACTTCAGTGTTGGTCAGCATGATGTCAAAATAGCACATGATCCCTCATCATATTGTCATAGTGTTATAGACCCCTCTGCAGATCTTATTTTAAAAGTTATTGTTCCTGATGGCCTTATTTGTGCGATTAGCAAGACAAATCCTGGTGAAGTAGTGTGGAAGCATAAGGTAGAATTAAAATTGTTATCATTAGTCGCTAGCATATTTTGAATTGTAATATCCTTCAGAGTTAATTTAAGAGTAGTACATATTTATTTGTTTGTAGATCTGATATAATTTGTACTACTTGATCTTTTCAAATAGTTGAACTTTACCATTTACCAATCTGAAATTTACTAAAAGAGGTTATAAATTAAGATGTGATCCAAATAATGTATATATTGCACAATGCAATCGAGAATGCTGCAATTATATTACTTATGCTTATAATATAATTAAATTAACTAAAACCTGATCACTAACTTTTACAATGATATTCTATTCTTTTTTTATAGCTAAGTTAAAAAAAAAAAATTATAATTCTTTTGTTACATTTTATTAAAATTAAAACTCAAACCAAATTTAGTTTATCTCGTTAGTAGATAATGTTGTTTGGCTTTGATCTAAAATTAGATTTATATCAACCCTTTCCAATTTGGATAGAGATTTTAGTGCATCATTTTCATGTTGAATCTTTTTTAATTTGAGATTGCTATTTAATAATAAGAATGTTAGTTATTTCTGCTAAACATTAGTGACTCGAGAATATTTTCATTTCTGTACATATTTTATTAAAAAAATTAGAATTTTAGTTTTTATAATGTATCATATAATTATCTGTTTCTCCAACTATACTGAAGTCACTAGGAGGGAAATATGTTTAATTTGGCTATTTTTTGGTACATTACAATTTTTGGAGCAAATGACTCGGCAGATTTTTAAGCTTGATGGCTAAAATTATTCATTATGTTCCAGATGAAACATTTTTAGCTAAAAGTAGTACCGACTTAAGTAATTTAAAGTGGTTATCTGTAGATTTAAAGATATGTAGCGAATGTTTGAGTTAATGGCTAGACTTATTTTTAAGTTTGGTGACAAAAATGAGAAAAGCAGCTTGGTAATGGAAAATTTTCCTTCTATGGTATTGTTTTGCTTAGTAAACAACCCTGCATAACCTATTCAATCTTGTTTGATATCTAGAGAACTGGAAGTAGCAAAATGTAGCGGGGAAAAAATTATATACATAAATCAGAGTAAATTGCGTCTTCAACCAGTTTTTTTTTTTCAATTATGCCACCTCTAAAGCTCCTCAAAATAAAGTTAAAAGATTGAAATTTTGTATTTGATTTTAATTGGTGTTAGAAAAGTATCTTGGGATGATCTCAATTCTTGCTCCCTACTTCCCAGCATTTAAATAAATTAAATTTGAAAACATATTACATAAAATTCAGCTTTTCAGTTGATTTTGAAATATTTAATTTTGCTAGATTAGCATTAATGAAACAATTGAATCACTTTTTCATCTGTTCTTCCTAATAAAAGTATGTAATATACGATCTCAGGGATGGAACTATGCTGCTCATACTTTTTAAAAATAAATTTTGTAATACTTATTTCCCTAATTTTTTGTTAAATTTCATTTTTTTGAATTTTAGTTTGAATATCCTGTTGTAAGTGCCTGGCAAGTGATAAAAGGACAAATGAAGTGGGTTGATCTGTTTGGAGGCTCTAATAACGTAGAAGATAATTTTTCTTTACCTAAATCACCAGTACTATATATCGGCATGCATAATAAACAGGTACATAAATGGTCCCCTTAAAATTTGTGTTATTTTTGTGAATTATTGCATGTCAAAAAATTAATTTTGTTTTTATTCTTAAGCTGTATATTCAAGAAAGCGTGCAAATGCAACGTAAAATATTGGAACATGTGAAGACCAATCTCATTGCTGGGGAAACCTTTATTCCAAGAATTCCATGGAGGCCTGTTCCAGGTATTTTTTTCTGATTTCAGGAAGACTGATGTATTTGTTGTTAGTTGCGTGTTTGCTTAATTTGATAATTGGGGCCAGACTTTTTCCCAACAAGTTTTTAATAATTTTCCCTATTTGGCCTGCCATATAATAATAAGAGATTTTATTCTTACAATGTTTGTTGTTGATGATTAGTTGATGACCATTCTTGAACAAAATAAATTGGTATTCATGGCTTGTATTGCATATCAATAGTAATCAGATAAAAAAGATTTTTATTCAAACTGTGAAAAAAAATTAATAACATTAAAAATTTATGAGGCCATTCATAATATTCATATTTTATTTTATTCAACTAAAGTTCTTAGTAACTGAGTTTTTCATGTTCACTTTTAGTTTGTTTTATTTATACATTTATTATAGAATTGTAGATATTCAATTTAATGAAATATTGATATTTAGCTAGAGTTCTCGGGATTGCTGGTCCAAAAGAACCAATCCTTCAAATCACTGAAGAAAAAACTCAAGCGTCAACCACAGCGCTATCTGTGCTTTATGCTTCAGAGTACGTTAATGGTAAGATCTTATAATACTTTTGTAGGAAATAATTTCTAAAATAATATACTTAAATGTATAGGAAATAAGGTCTGTAGTAAAAAAAGTTTTAATTAGATTTCATTGTTGTAGGAAATGGGTATTTTTTGTACAGTGCTGCAGATGTTGAAAAAGCTGAGACCGGCTTATGTGCTTCAAATGATAAAGTAAACATCACTATAATTATAGACAATGGTGAGCCGACTATTGAAGATATTGATGATGAGGATGAAGATGAAGAAAAAGAAACACCAGTCCAAGTTATCATGGTTTCCTTTTGGTACTGGTGGTGAGTATTTTTTATATTTTTGTTGGGATTATTTACTGATATTTTCATCAATTTCAAGTATTTTCTGCTGTAGAAAAGTGAGAGAGGAGTAAAATGAAAAAAATATTTAATAAGTAATGCCGTTTCAATTGTAATTATAATAAATTACATTCTTAAATCAGAGAATGGGCCTTATTATAATTAAATACTTAGTATATTATTAATTATTTTTTAACATAAAAATAATAAACCCATGCTCTTTCATTGAAAGATTGTTTGTCATCCTACATTTTGCGAAGCACATTATGCGACACTAGCTATAATTCTAAAGATTTTGGACTAGAATGATAGAATCATTTTAAATTTATTTTATTTCACTGTACCTCACAGGTTCTATCATTAAATATATAAAAACGAAAGAAGAAAAAATAAGCTCTTAAAAAAAACATAAAAATTAATAAATAGATCACTTAAGAACTTGAACTCAGCCCCACTACAATGTTCACCATTTGTTTAAAAAAATAAATAAATCAGGATGTTTATAGGAAAAGAACAATCTTTCAAAAGGACAAGAATATCCCTTTTCTGATCCAATTTTTCATTTCAAATCCAATACCTATTTGGAAGCTTTAAATCTTCTTGATGCTTGCTAAATTTTGAAAGATGAGTTATACAATTTTACTTACACAACAAAATTGTATTCAAGAACATCGCTGGCGAGAGAGGTGTTCCAATAGGTTAGGCATATGCCATGGGTGGTTGGGATGGTTTGGTCTACTCTTCATGAAGGGTATAGTGATAAAAACATTTTCTCAGTACTCAATACTCTCTTTCAGTACTCTTGAAACATGATTGTTTTACTATCTGAAACAATTTAACTCTTCTCTTTTGACCCAAACAAACTTTTCATATTATAGGAGAAAATTGCAATTACAGGAAGAGAGAATCATTGTTTTAGTTGAGATTAATTAAATGGACTCAATTAAAAAGGAATTGTTTATTATATGAAAATCCAAATTGCTTAAAAAGGTTAAAAATATATTACTAGATTTTGAAGATATTCAAAAACCTAATTGATATCTAACTTGTTCATGAAGTTTCTCAAAGAATGGATAGTCTTATATCACCACACAAAATTTTATCGATAAAAATGTTGTTTTTTCACTTATGACTACAACTAATGGACCAAGGCACAATTCGAAACAGCCATTTTAGAAAACAGTTGGTTTTAATATTTTTATTTAATGCTAAACATAATTTACCAACACAAATTTCTATCTTAAGCAAACTTTAATGGTCCAATAAACATGGATTAGTTTCTTATCTATAACTGTCTAAAACTTTCTCAAAATAGAAGGGTTTGATTAATTTTTCTAAAACTTTTTTTTTTCTTTTTGGTATTCTGCTTGTTATGGTGCACAATATCTTGATATAGTGACCTGATTTCTAACAACCTCTGAAAATCAGAACTGTTTTAAGAGAATTACTTTTTTTAGGAAAGAAGTGTTGCTGACAAGTATTTCTACTGCGATTCTATTGAATGTTATTCTTCAAAGGCGTTTAATTCTCTTTTTTAAAAAGAATCAGGATGAGGTATGAATTATGTTTTTATTTTATATTGATAATGATAAATTGGCTATTTTTGTGCCAATATATGTTTAGTCTCATTTGGATTATTTAAAAAATTATTTATTTCAGAAGTGAATATTATGATATATATTATATATTTCCTTATTGATAATAACTGAAAAATTGTATTTTTACAATTTCACATTTTGTCTTTTTTTCATTTTAGGATCGTGAACCATTAGTGGAAGGTTCCATAAATGGTCATACTAGGAACAATTCTTCGTCAAAGTTTGCTTTCCCTGTCCTGTTTAGTAGTTCAGCAGAATATGTTTCTCGTTATCTAACTGATTTTGAACCTGTTCATTGCCTTGGAAAGGGAGGTTTCGGTGTTGTTTTTCAGGCAAAAAACAAGATTGATGATTGTCACTATGCAATAAAAAGAATTCCCCTTCCTAATAAGTAAGTAAATCTTGAACATTATTCATTTAATCTTATTTAATTAACTTAAATTTAAAGATAACTAATGCTTTATTTAGGGATGAATCACGTGAAAGGGTTATGAGAGAAGTGAAAGCTCTTGCAAAATTAGATCATCAAAATATAGTCAGATACTTCAATGCATGGCTTGAGTGCCCACCACCTAATTGGCAAGAAACACAGGATGCATTATGGGCTCATACTCATAAGTAAGTTTTGTATGTTTGCATAAATGAATACTTTGTGATTTATCTTTACCTTACTGTTTTATTTTCATTACTTGTCTACAATGTTATTTGTTTTCTTGAAGGAAGTTAGTCGACTGTTCTACATATCATAGCTGATAACTAATCAGGACGCAGTCCTTTTTAAGGTTTTTATTGGTGGCGATGTTTCAACCCAAGCATGTGGGTCATCATCAGGACATGTTCCGAGCACTGAAGGTGTTCAAATACTCAAGCACTGATGATGACCCACATTTTTGGGTTGAAATGTCAGCCCCAATAAAAACCTTTAAAACTGACTATGTCAGGACTAAGTATCACCAATGTTAAGTTTTCATTTGTTATGAGTTTTGAAATGAGAGCTCAACCAACAAATTTCATATTCAGCTGTTGGTATGAAACTAGTAATTCTTTTTATTATCAATGCTGTTCAAATTCCTCTCCTTTTTAATTTTGCTAACATAAATATTTCATAAAATATTAAGATCTAATAATATATAATAATTTCAATTATTAAACTATTTTTGATCAATATTTACTACACTTGAACTGTTAAGTTACAGAACCTATCAAGTCGGTGGTTTAGTGCTTTTTCTTAAATTTCTAATCTTAAAATAAATTAAATTTTAAAAAAATTAAATGATTACTTTAATTTTTAATAATTAATTGTTTTTGAAATTTTTAGGGACGAGATTTTTAGTGACGATGCAGTTAGAGTTGATCTTAGCAGTCAAATAACTCCTTCCAGCGAAATACCTCCTCCTTTTCCAATTCATCACAGAAAACAAAAAAACGTCCTTAAGTCTTTATGGGAAAAAGCATCATCATTCTATCCAGGAAGCTGTCAAATTGAAGAATCCATCGAAAACCAGCCAATTCATCGACAATTACAAGATGCTAGTGATTCTTACATTGTTTTCGAAGGATCCTCTAAAAAAGAAGACTCATTTATTGATGATACCAAAGAATTATCCGAATGTATTACAAATGGGACAGGTATAACTTGCTGTACAAGACCAAGCTCCCTCAGTATTTCCTCAGGGCCGAGTGATGGAAGAAGTCTGCGAATGTATTTATTTATTCAGATGCAGCTGTGCAGGAAGGAATCTTTAAGAGACTGGCTTAGTGACAATTTAATACGTGACAAAAAACAAATAATGCATATTTTTGACCAAATTGTACAGGCTGTTGAATATGTGCATCTTCAAGGATTGATTCATCGAGACTTAAAGGTATAAAACTAAATAAATGCTTATTGTGACATTGTTAAAATTAAAAATTACTTAAGAATACATCTAATTTCAGTTTTGTTTTTTTCTGAAACTTAGCTAATAGTAATAAGTGGCTGAAGTGTTTTATATAACAATAAAAGATAAATACTGCTCAATGAAATTCTGAATCATTACAAATTGCACGTTTATAGTGTAGTACTTCTCATTTCCTGCTTGAACACACAAACCAACAAAGATAAAAGTGAGATCAAATAGTCTGATTCAAATGGGTGAAGGTTGCACTCCTCACTGGTTATAATACACTTACCCAATTTATTGGCATTATTGAAACCTCAAGAGAGAATTTATTGTGTATTTTATTAACAACATATAATATTCATAATAAATTACTATTAAAAAATTCTATTGTAAACATTTTTGGGACAGCTATACTGCGTTAGTAATAGCGGATGGAAGATATTCAGTTGGATCAGAACAAGAAGCAGATGCTCTACAACCACTTTATTGTGTCTTCACTCTGCTCAACTATTACCATACAGCAGTTGCTAGAACCTCTTTGATATACTTTTACTGGATTGAATTATTGTTTCTTTTTCCACTAGATCAGTATCTGTCAGGGATGCTATTTTGTTAGTAATTACTTGAAAAGAGGATAATTCGGAACTAGAAGGTTGAGAAAAGGTTAATGATGCAAATGGATAAATTTGTAGTGGTTAAAAATCATTGCTGCAAGTTTTCAGCCAATATATTTTGGTTAAAATCAAATTTTAAGGAAGAGTTGTAATTTTTTTTCATAAGGGCTAAATAGTTTTGTATTTATTTTATTTTTTTTCTATTGGCTTTACAGATCTTGTAGATCTTTTGCTGTCTTAATTAACCTTTGCAATCTCTTCCTATCTTGTACTATTTCTTTCCAGTTATCTGCATTCAGCTCTATAGCATATTTGTTGAGGCCATCTATCTATCTGGCTTTTTGCCTTCTACGTGGTCTATTGCCTACTATTGAGGTATTCATTGTGTAAATATTTCTGGTTGATTGCTCTAAGCTACAGGCCCTACCCATCGTAACTTCCTTGCCTTCATATCATGAGATATTGATTGTTAGCAGTTTTTTTTTTTTTTTTGGTCTTCCACGCATTAATGCTTTGCTTCCTGGTCATTTCGGTTAACATGGAGAGCATATTTCTCTCAAATCTTTCAATCCTTCTTTCTAGGGTGTCGGTTAATGACCAGGTCTTGGAACCATATATTAAAACTGTCTTTATCAGTTTCTGAATAACAGGTTAAAATTTACTAATACAATAATTAAACTATTTATTTACTTGATAATATATTTGTGCAAGAGATAATGCATTACTAAATAAATTTTTTTTCTATGCCTGAATAACGCCTGCTTGTTCAGTCAGTCATGCGTAATCTTGCAGTCCAATATAAATTCACTGTCCTAACATAAGAGTTGCCTGTTTCACTAAAAGCACATCTTATATCCTGTAATGCAGGGAATGTGTCAAGCTGTTCTCCTTCCATAATATTCCAAGAGGACAGGTCGGACATCTTTTATACCGATGCGGTGGAGGTGCTTCTGCAGTGAACTTTAGAGAATCTGTTTTATTATTCTTTCAGTTGAATCCATGCCCAGAGAAATATATGGTTGGATCATTCCAGAACCTATTCTGGCCAGTTAGTCAGCCTCGTCATTTCCGTGGAGCCTGCAGTGATCTGGTATCCACTGGAAAGCGACTTCTCTCCTGTTTTCTTTTACACGGTCCAAATACAGGTGGCATTTAAGGACAGTTGGGTTCGTATTATACCGATTTTGGAGAGACAAAATGGCTGCCTGAGAGTCAACAAAGAAAGCATTTTTCTTGTCCTTCCGTTCAACCAATTTCTCAAAGGCCAAGAACTGAATAAAATTATGCTATATTTACTAAATACTTTTTTGATTGTGTACAAACTAATTAATTTTTTTTTTTGTAGCCCTCAAATATATTTTTTTCTCCTGATGGCCAAGTTAAAGTTGGAGATTTTGGTCTGGTAACAGCTATGGTTGAAGGTGATGATTTTAGATCTCCATTACTTGGAAGGAAAGTTGTTGATGAACGTCACACAGCCAGGGTAGGAACTCAACTCTACATGAGTCCTGAGCAGGTAAGTTTATTTTACATTTATATGATGACTACTGATTTCGTATTTTTATTTCATTCTAATAAATTATATGTATTCTTATAACAAATATTCTTTAAAAAAAAAATATACATATTTTTATTTTTATTAAAGAGTTGTAATTTTTAGGTTTCTGGACAACAATATAATTATAAAGTTGATATTTATTCCCTTGGACTAATATTGTTTGAACTTCTGATTCCTTTTAACACACAAATGGAGAGGTGGAGAACTCTTACATCAGTTCGGGAAAATAAATTTCCTTTCAATTTTGAAAAAGACTTCACTGATGAGGTAAGTTAATAGATCTGATAGTTCAATACTGTCATTCTATCCACTATATATTTGTTCAGTTTATACTTTAGATCATTATATTTTAGTATGGAAAACTCGATGGTTTGGTGTACTAAATATTGTAAAATATGTAATGAAAGATTTCCCTGTTTTCTTTATTTTATTAACATTTTCTATTATGGTAATGCTTCTATCTCAAAGGGTTATTGGCATTTCTTATATTTTTACAATTGGTGGTAAAACTTGATTTCTTTTAAGAATTCCATAAGAGATTGAACACTAGTTTCCAAATCTTCTAGGATTTAGGCTTTTTTATTTATAATTTTTTTGAGCGATTATGATTCTTGTGAGTTGTATAATTTCTTATTTCATAGATTTACTCTTATAATAAATCCATGAAAATCTTGATACCTTGATAAATCAATTTTATTCTTTATTTCAGCATGAACTACTTAAATTAATGCTGTCTCAAAGACCAGAAGAGAGGCCAACAACTATAGGTGTTCGTTCACGCCCACCGCTGAGGGAACTGCAGACTGAAAGCACTATTGGTGAAGATTGGCATTTCAGTCTTCCTGCTAGGCATCGTGATTCTTCCTTCAGCAGATCAAGTCAAGAATCTTCCTCCTAGCATAAGGTTCCGCTTTGTGTGAGGACTTTCAGAAAGGCCTATAAGAGACTTTAACTAAAGGAAAAATCCGTAGCGATACTCTACTTTTAATTAGTAATGCCTATCGATGATAATTTTAAAATAGTTCTATACTTACTAGATGTAAGTTGTTCTATTTTTTTATTTAGTTTATGGCATCCTATGTTTTGTCAAAATGTTATCAAGTATTATTTAAGTTTATATATTATAAGACTTAAAGCAATACATTCAATTATAAAGTGTTAGTTATAATTTTTAAAGACTGTTCAACAGTTTATTTTATTTCCATTACTTTTCCTCTATAATCTCTGTAAGTTATTTTCAGTTTTTAAGGGATGTTGTATTTAGTTTAGCAGTTCATGATTAGTTATGCTAGTTCCTATAGACTTTTTTATAATATAAATCCAGAAATGATAGTTTAGTTTAAATGTTATGTCTTTAATAGACTGTGCCATTGCCAAAAATATTTAAGTGCCTTAAATTTATGTATTTCTAAATTACTAAAAAAAAAAAGAAATAAGGAAGTTTATGATCTTAATATATTTGTTCTTCTAGATATCTTCTGGTATTAAATCATTTAGTATTAAATGACTTTTGCTTTTAATTACAATTTTTTTTTTTATTGTCCAAAGATTTATATTTTTTTCCGGAAGTTTCACATTGTTTAGTTGTTCACGATAGAATTGATAGTTGTAGTTTTATGAATTTTGTTTGTTTTTGCATATCAAATGCTATGGTTTTGTCTGTAGAACAATTTTTTAAGCCATATATTTTTATAGAATTTAAGCGTTAAATTGTATATATTGTATTTATTTGACATTTTTTAGTCTTTTACATATTTGTTGGCAATTTTAATGTTTTGTACAGTATATTTAAATAATTTTATATGGAAGACTTTAAGAATGTAATTTTCAAAAGTACATTATGCATAAGATGCAATAATTAGTTTGTTGTACTTTTTAGATAGGACTTTTATTAAACTATGTTATTTTTTTTCGACATTTGTGATATATCGACTTAATTGATTAAAAAAATAAAATAAAAAGATATATTGAATTTATTTGAAGTTAATTATGAAACACTTATTATGATACTATTGCACTTTCTGATGGTGTACATTCATTATATAAATGAAATAGTTTAGTTTATTAAATCATTATGTTTATTTTGGTTAGTTTACATTATTAATTAATGTTATAATAGTAACTTAGTTACTAAGAATCTAGCCTTTTACTAGTTTCAGATCTATGTTAAAGATAGATTTGATTTTTTAATTTATTGTGATTACTGCACATTCTGCTGCATAAACCTCTATCCTTTTATTAAAAACTAAAAGGCTAAGACATGTGATTTGTAAACTATATTAGAGTTTTCTTGGTAATAAAGTGATGATGTATATATACCAATGTACACTATACATTTTTTATATTTGTAACTATATAGTTATCATTTAAATGTACATAATTAAAAGTAATAAGAACATTTTTGTGATTTGTATCATTCTGACCTTTATAGTACTTTTATTTTTAAGTAAATGATCATTATATGACCAGTAGATATTTAATAACAAAATCATAATATGAGCAAGGAATAAAACTAAATTATTTATCCAATAAACATAACAATAAGGAATCTTATTCTTTATTTATAAATTATAACAAAAGTATAATAAATAATTAGGTATTGTTGGGTTTATTTAAACCAGCAAAATAATTTCATTCAGAATGAAGCTATTAGATGCAAGTTTCTTGGAGTAGATTATTAAAATAAATATACAAATTGTATGTGGGGCTGAAGTAAATAATATTGCTTTCTTATCTGATGAATGCTTAACGATGGAAATAAAAAGCATTAGAATAGTTATAAATTTGATAATGATGCCTCTACTATTCCAATATCTTCTACTAATGTTTTATAGTAATCCTTAGTTTCTTGTGGCTGGGCTAATAGTTTTTCCATGTTGTCTTTCACCATTTCCCCTTCTAATATATATTCATCAAATCTAGTTCCATTATTTGTCATCTCTGCTATATCAATTAAAATTTGTGGATTGTATAGAGATGATGTTTCTAATAAACATATTGCAGCTTCATCTAAAAAAGTAATTTTATTTTTTAGAGAAAAAGTGAAATAACAAGCATAAATAAAACAAAAAAAAAAAACATTTATAAGAACAGGAAAATTACTATGCTTAATGGTGACTTTTTCAAGAAGTTCCTGAATTTTGGTCATGACTTCGTTCAGATATGACAAGAAGTCGTTATAATATTCCATTTTAGTTTATATTATAGAAATTTTTAAATTGTTTCCACAGGTTTATTCAATTCAAACTAACCTCCAACCTATGCCCTCTTAATTGAGCTGTTCATTGTGAATGTATAGCTGTGAGTATAAAAATCTTAAATATGTATTTATTTAATAATGCCATTTATAGACAAAACAAGAAATTATATTTATTTGTACAAAATAGAAAATAATAACGATTGCAGTCATTAAAAAACGGATTGTGAAATTTAAATGTTACCTTCAAAACCAGCTGATAATAGTCTTGATAACCTTAGATTTTATATGTAACTGGTGTCTTGTTGTGGAGTAGTATTTAGGTAATTAAGTCTTTGTGAGCAAGTTTATTTATGAATGACCAGTGACATGTTATTAGGAATAACTTCTTTTATATTTTAATTTTTAAAAAAATTCAAAATAAATTTAAGTTTGTTTTCTGGCCCAAGACCAATCCCCTCTTTTCCAGTTGGTCCAGAGCCTGATAATAATAGATTCTCTGGATGAAAATTAATTCTTATTTAGGAGGATAATATATATATTTAATTTTGCTGTTGAAATTCAAAATGTTTTATTATTTTACTTATTAATCGGCTGTCTAACTTCAATTTTTTGTGTATCATTGGCTTATCATTTTTATCACTTACTTCATTATGTTTGAATAGGGCCTAGTCATGAGTAGTGATATACAGCAACAGTTCTGCTTAAGATGGAATAACTATCAAAATAGTCTACTTTCAAGCCTTCCACAGCTACTTGATGGAGATGACTTGACTGATGTAACCTTGTATGCTGGTGGAAGGAGCATCAAAGCACACAGGATAGTTTTATCAGCTTGTAGTCAATACTTTAAAAACATCTTTAAAGTAAGAAATAATATAGTTTTCAAATAATTTATTCCTTTTAAGGTAGATTTATTAATTTAATTTTCTTATTTTAAGGTAGATTGATATCTTACTTCAGCTAATGGATTTAAGCATATAAAATGAACTTGCAATCATTTTAAGAATATTTTATAACTTATTTCTTAACATTTAATTATGGTTTATAATGAATTTGATTTATAAAAACTGTTTTTCTTTTTTTGATAAAATTATACTATTTTGCAATTACTAATACTTTATCTGGGTAAAAAATTATGTTGGGAATTATTTAATCATTTGGTCCTTTGTCTTAAGCTTTGGAATCCAAAGAAGACTTTTTAAAAATTAATTTTGGCTTAGTAAATTTGTGACAGCAAAATTTAATTTAAGTTAAATTAATTTGTGTTTTTTTAAATGTTTCATACAAGGAAACTTTTTAATGAAATTATCCTGTTACAACTCCACCCAGTTGGGGTGTTTTTTAATGTATTTTTTCCCATGAAAGATACATTTTGAAGCAGTTCAAGGTAATGTAACTTTTATGGATATAACCTTTTTCTTAAAAAAAAAAAAAAAATGAATGTATTGTTTGCTATTTTGGTAAAATGTTTTGTATGGTTTAACAATTACTTTCCTTTTTTTGGTTCTCTAACACTCATTTTATAAATTAGATTTAAAGATATATATTTAAAATCTTGTCCAATAATATAACTAGTGACATAACAGAATTCTGAAATTTAAACAATTCTAAAATATTTTAGCAGTTTTTTTTTAAATGTAAATAAGTTAAGTTGTGTTCTTGAGAAATTTTCAATTAAAAACTTTTTGTATATGAGTACCTTACTTCACAATGTAAATAAGAGAATAATTAGAGTAGGATGGATCCTGACCAAAATAAAAATACTGTATATTCTTCCACCTTAAGCCTTCCTCAATAAGTAATATTGCATTTATTTATGTATATTTCTCCTGAGTTGTAAAAGAAATTGGCTCTTTTTTTATTGTAGGCAATGGGTGTTATGATGTTAATTTTATATATCTATAGTTATGGAAATCCATTTAGGCTTCTGTTTTAATTTACATTAATTTTTTTTTTTTTACAATTACAGTATCTACTTAAGTAATGCAGAAGCTAACTAATTATAAATTAAAGATATCTTATCTTTATTAATATAAATTTTGAACTTACAGTTCTTCAATAATTTACAATTTATGCCTCTTTTTATATATTTACTTGAAGTTGATGTAATTATTGTCTTGAAACAAAAAGTAATATTTGAGGAGGAAGGAATTTAATATTTTTTAATATTAATTAAAACTAATATTTGATATTTTAAATTAATTGCCAGTTAGAGAGCATGCAATTATATTTATGATATATATTAGAAATATAGTCAAGTACACCATCTGTTAGATGGGTGGCCTTTCTGCTAGAGATTCTTATCATCTTTGTTTCTCATTTGATAATTCACAATGATCTCTCTTTCTCTCTCTACTTTAAGGGGCTTATTCACTTTCAAGCAGATCACAAGACTGGTTCAGGACTTTTTTTGTGATCATACAGGCTGAATGATATACTATGAAAGAGAGGTTTGGGCCATAGTGTATGATCGAGACTAGGGTGTACCCCTTCATGCTTATCCTCCTCACTAGTTCGAACTATGAAAGTTTGTTGGCAACCTTTTGACTATTCTTAATAAACTCAACATGAAACCACATTTACAACTCATTGAAAGAACAAAGAAATTGAAAATATTTCCAGTAGATCTTTGGGTATTAAGTTGAAAATATTTACTATTGTAACTTTCATAGATTTGTTGAAATATTCTAAAGTTTAGTTACTATTATGAAAAATAAAACATATAATAGTTAGGAAGCAAATTTAATTTTTGTTCTTAATCATGTAATTTATTTTCTCAAATCTATTTAATTGGAGAATCTTGTTAAACTGTTGATTGATTAGGACCTGATTGATGTGAATCATGACAATAGACACTTTAAAGATCTATGTGGCGACATGCTGACTACTAACATGTAGAATTTCTTTGGCCTAAATATGAACAAACGTTTGTAGGTATAGTCACTCCTAGGTGACCATACTATACCTATATGGTTCGTCTAAAGTTTGCTGGTAGGGGAAGGGAACTCTCTCAGCCTTGCCCTCTCAAGCTCCACCTCCTCTCCTTGCTATAGCAATCATCTCATATTGGGAACGTATTTTTCGATGTTTGGTTTTCTTCCAAATTCTAATTTCTTAAAAGAAAAAAAAATGTAGAAGTATGTACGAATGAGTTGAGAGAAGACAAAAAAGAGGGGGATCAGTGGGAAAACGTTTTGCCTCTGTGCACCTCTCTCTCTCTCTCTCTATCCACCGGCAAACTTATCTGAGACCCACACTACATACTTCTCATCTCTCAATGGCTGCTTGATCTGAATTAAAGTGAATAGGCCTCTTTAGCGTAATGGGCTTGTCTGCCCTCTGGAGGTGAAACACTGATTATATGTAAGGTAATGATTCTACACCATGCTTATTGTGAATTTTTATTTAGTCTAAGCTAACTTGAGAAAGTTATGGTGTTCAAAGAACTCTGAAACTCTATTGGTTTGTCTAAAAAATAAAGAATTCTATTTTATATATTTATATCTTTTTTTTTTTTTAAACGCCTCTTGACTCAATTGACTTCCGCCATTGGTCTTCTCGCAGCATCGGGGCTGTTCTAGGTGCCTCTGCTTTTTTTTTTTTTTTTTTTTTCTTCCCTACCTCGCCTTTTAGGCTATACGGGATTTTCCAGCACCGGGATACTTTATTAATCTTCTCAAATCTGTAATCCGGTTGCCAGGCAACTCGCGGTGCAGTGCACATGCTTTTGCCAATTCGGCCACGCCGCCCCCCCTCTAGGCGATAAGCTGTAATATCGTTTCGTTCTCTTCTTATATAGATGATATCCAGGGAACACATGGTTTATAATAACCGGACACGATTACAATCGCTCCCTTTTCATTAGGATGGTTGACAACCTTTTGCAGACGTCTCTATTCTTTGTTGTTTTTTTATGGGATAGGGTTGTTAGCCCTGTACCCAACCTCCAAATCTGGAGGACCAAAGAAGCTATGTTATTAGACACAGGGGTCGCTCTAACCTTTCTGTGAATCTCAGGGTGGGGTGACGTTACCGTCGCCATAGGGGAATTGAACCCTGTGGGAAAGAAATATACGTCTGTAAGAAGATCATATCTAGTGGCCAAAGATTTTCATGGCTTATAGCGCCAACTGAAAAAAAGAAATATAATAAAAAAATAAATTGTAGAACATTCCTTATATATTTAATCATGTTTTAGGATATCAAAGGGTAAGAGCCCTTAGATGTAATGTACATTGGCTGTATTGTTCATGGAACTGTATAAGAATTTCAAATGAAAGTTAATATATCTTTTTAGTTTCTAAAAAGTATCTTATTGCATTAAAGCCCTTGAAATGCCAAGGATTCATAGATAAGGACTTTCTGTTTCTCAATCAGTTGTTTTTTTGGTATTGATATTCGTGCCTTATAAAGAAAAAAAAAAAATTCTTTTTTTATGCAATTGAGATCCATTTATAACAGTTAAAAGAATATTATAACCCATTTATGACAAAAAAAAGAATATTATTTTTTTCACATTCTTTTATTTTTAAAATAATAAAAAAAGGAGGAAAACAGAATATGAATCATGTGATTCCATCATAATATTATTTTAGTATATATCCTTAATGGTTGGGATTAGTTGAAAGTCAATTTCACTAAAAAAAAAATTAGAAATCTATAATTTTAAACTTTTTATAAAATATTTTGATAAAATTATTATTATTTTAACAACAATACTAAATTTTCCTTTTTGTTGAGTCAGTCAAAGTTACTTATAATGTATGATATTTTTAAAGTAGTTGATATGTTATAACACTTATTTTAGCCTGTTTATTGAATTTGTTTAGGAAATGTCTCCATTGCAACATCCTGTGATTGTTGTTCCTGGAACCGATTTTACAGAACTTTGCGCCCTCGTCACATTCATGTACTCAGGGGAAGTTAACATCTATCAACATCAACTCCCTGGCCTCATAGCTCTTGCTGATACTCTCCACATCAGAGGCCTGGCCCAGTTTTCAGCAGTATGGATTTTATATGATTATTTCTATTTTAACATACATTTTTTTATATTTTCTCCTATATTTCTGACATTTTATTTAGTATTCACATGAATAATATTTTTTAGTGTTGGGAATATTTATTAAGAAATATTCTTTTATGATTAAATTTATTCCAGTAGAACATTTGTTTATGTTCTTTTATTCACAGGTCACAAAATATTTTCAATTTACAGCATTTCTAAAAAATAAAATTTAAAGATCATGAATATAAAGAGTACTGATATAAATTAAAGAATGCTGGCAGTACCTGTTATCGGAAGAGAATGAGTTAAGGCCAAGTTGAAGTAGTTGTTGTTTAAGGTCCTCAAGAAGATATTGCAACTAGAAGCCCTAAAGTAGTACATGATGGTCAAACTATCATTTGTCCAGAATTCTATGTTTTCCAAGGCTTCTTTAATTTTGCTTACAAGTTGAGAAAGGAAAGGACCGATACATGACCATCAAAGAAAAAATAAAGTTATGATATTCACCTGATATTGTGGCTCTGTTTAAAAGGAGTAAAATAAGGTGAATTGTTCATGTATGAATAGCACTAGAATGTTGAAAACGATTATGGATGGATTCCTAGTAGGAGATAGTTAAATCGCTATACAAAAGCTTTGATGGAAGGAAATCATAGAAGCATAGTTCAGAACTTAGGTATAAGAATTTATAAAAGAGTTACTGAAGATTAATAAAAAGTAGAAGAATTGTCCTAAATGGTCCCTAGGTGAAATGAAAGGCTAGAAAAATGTCTGCCGAATAAGTCACTGTAGCTTCCTTATAATTTCTAGTGACTAAACAAGGAAAAATGAATTCATTTTTTTAGTATAGAATTTGATGAAATTGATACTAGACTATTAGTACACAATTCCCCAACTTGCCACTAAATTTGGGTAAAATCAAATGATCCTTTTTTGAATTACAAGTCTTTCAAGGAAAATATGTGGCAATAATATCTGTCAACAAAAATAGCAAAATGGAATTAGATCATATTTAAACTTGATCAATTTTTCACTAATCTATAACTTTCCTAAAATTTTAAGCCAAACGAAAGAAGCTCATTTTGAACTATAGTCGTTGAAAGATAAATACATTTTATACACATATGAATGGAATAAGAAGTATAGAATTTGCACAAGAATAAAGTATGGTGTACTTATTTAAGGTATGATGATTGTAAAAATTCCCCAAAAAACTGATAAAGTTGAGGTATAATACAGAAAACATTTCTAAAGAGACATGATGGAAATACAAACATAAAAAGTCATTAGGAAAGGATTAAATCATCCATAAAGGAGGAGGCTGAGGAGATATTGAAGACAAAGCCTAAAATTACAGAATGGTACGATCAGGAATGTGATCAAACACTTAAAAACAGAAAAGAGGGGTGTTTGAGAATGCTTACTGTGGCACAAGAAGAAGTTGGGAGTATATCTCTGGGAAAAGGATCGCAAAGAAGATAAATACATTTTTATATATATATATATATATATATATATAACCTGTTGCTGTGCTTTGTTTCTCCAACATTTGGTATCTGTTGGGAGAGACCTGTGGTCACTTTAGATGCCTTTTGCTCACTCGCTGGATATGCTCCTTGAATCTGAGCCTATAGGGTAGTGGAAAACTTTCCTAGAGTAAGACAGGAAGAAGGTAATAACAATGATGTAGAGCTGTCACATTATGAAGATTTTCTGGATGAAATAACCACTCTTAAAATCAGCAGAAGTCCTGGGTTGGATAGTATAGATGTAGAGAATGGACTACTGTTATCATATGCCTTGTTTTTAAAAAATAAGAAAATACGAACTGTGACAATTATAGAGGCATATCATTGCTAATTAGGTTTTAAAGTTTTTGCAGTTCTGTTAGTTTTGATCCCAGCAGATTTAGATAAATATCAGTATGGTTTTAGACCAGGTAAATCAACAATAGACCACATTTTCTTGATAAGGCAAATGTTGAAAAAAATATGCTCATACCAAATAGGCTTACAACACATTTTTATTGACTTTAAACAGGCATATGATAAGTATAAATAGGGAAAAATTACTGAAGACAATGATATAATTGGGATTACTAAAAAATTGGTCACTTAGGCATGGATGACCTTAAGCGTTAACAGATTCCTTGTTCAGATTAATGGCCTGTCTTCGGAGGATTTTGAGATCATAAATAGGCTTTGGAAAGGTGATTCAGACCTATCCTCTTGGCACTATTTATAACAGGATATGACAGCATTTAGCTTATACTGATGATGTCGTAATAATGGCAAGAAATAAAACAGCATTAGAAGGGGTACTTGAAGAATTTGAAACGTAGCCATATAAAGAAGTATGGCTACAAATAAATGAGCAAAAGACTGTTCACATGATAAGTTTAAGAATGCTAAGTGGAACAGAGGAATGTGTCAATAGGAAATCACACCCTGAAAATGGTCGAAACTTTTAAATATTTGGGTTCTTTACTGAAAGGAATGAAATGGTGGAAGAACTGAAAGCAACAATGGGTGCTGGGAGTAGATGCTGTTCTGTCATGCAAAAATTACTAATTTATAACTCCCTCTGTTATAGAACAAAGATCACAGTGAACAAGAAAGTCATAACATCCATTGTCACCTATGGTTCTGAGAATTGAGTGGTCTCCAAGGCTTCAGAAAGAAAACTACTCGGAGAGAAGGTTTCTCTGCAGGATCTATGGTCCGATGTGTGAGGATGAGCACTGGAGATGTCGCACCACTAGGGCTACACAAGATCTATATGAGGCTGGGTTTGATCTCAATTGTGAGGAGAAACCAAATCAAAAGGTTGACCATGTGGAGTGTATGCCCGTAGATTCAATTCCCAAAGGCCTGTTGGAATATCGATTTGGTGGAAAATGAGGCAGGGGAAGACCATGCCTGAGATGGCTGGACAAGGTGGAGGACATCCTGAAAAGGATGGAAATCCAGAGATGGAGAATGCTCGCCCGGGATTGAGGAGAGTGGAAGAGAATTATAAGAAAGACCAAAGTTCTTGTAGAACTGTAGCGCCAAAAATAAATATAAAAATAGGTAGTGAATGGAATCCAATAACCTTGGTACATCACCATTTTTTCACTAATCCCTTCATTCCTCTGACTTTGAGCCAAATCTAACAATTTTTTTTTTTAAATATTGGAATGTCTAATAAAAAAATTTATGCATTCGTAAATGAAAGTAGTAAATGGAATTTGATCAAATTGGTATGGAACCATTTAAGTACCTCATCACAAAATTTCGTCAAAATTGGATCAGTGGTAGTAGGTGATATGCCTTTCAGGTAGATTTAACTACTGACTGATAGACACAACCAAATTTCTTCCTTAATCTCTAAAATGTAAAGTGCAATTAGAATTATTTGATTCGAAAATAATTCTTTATGAATTTTTTTTTTTGTGTTTAACCCTTTGATGTCACTCTGACTTAGCATCATAAGCAGCCCTTAATGGTTTTGGTGAAACTTGTTTAAAGTCCTCAGTTATGAAGAAAACAAACATCTTCTATAACATTCGAAATAATTAAATTTTGTATTAGATCTCACATTAAAATTTATAAAATTATATATATATATATATATATATATATATATATATATATATATATATATATAAAAAACTTAATTACATCAATACTAGCAAAGATACGTCGTGTAAGTGCATACATCTGAAATTTCATTTAGAAGCTTCAGAATGATAGCAATATAGTTATTATTTTCCCAGCCATCGAGAATCATTTTAAATGAGCTATAATGAGTGGAGTCCATCTCAAAGGACCCTAATCATTCATTTGTGGATTTACACATTGATTAAGGAACTGCAAAGAAAAGAAACAGAAAGAGATGGTTTTGAATTGTCACACAAAAAATAAATTGAAGAAAAATGTTAGCTGTTTAGGTTTTAATTAATTTAGTGACAATAATTTAATTTTCATATTGATTTTTCATTTTGGTTTAAAGGGTCCTTTTGAAGAAGAAGGCTTTACTCCTCAAAGTCCACCAAGCACTCCACAGACTCCTGAAGAGAAAATGCCGCCACTAGGAATTAAAAGACCAAAACTGAATGAAAACAATAATAATAGTACGAGTAATAACAATAATAACAATTCTACTAGTAATAATAATACAGTAGCTCCAAGCCCTGTGAAAAGCATGTATGTAAGAAAACCAAAGTCACGAGGAACAAGAAGCAGTCCTGGTAGATCTCAAGGAGAAGCTGAAGACCTAAGTCGAAGGGATACTCCTACAGATCTAACTCAAGGTAATCTATTAGTTTTCAGTCAAGAATATTAGTGAAATATAGAAATTCTCAAAGTTTAGAGCATTCACAAAAGTTAAGTCCTTCTATTGTGATGGCATTTCCGTAACTGATTTTTATCAGGTCATATCATTTATATCTAGATTAGTTTTTTGGAAGTACATAACTGAGTAGTTATGTAGGATATTATTTTTTGTTGTTCATTGATGTTTAATATTCTTATGTACTTCGACAAGTGTAGGAAGCACAGATTATCCTTCAAGAAACAAACCCACTCCATGCAGAGTGGAAAGGTTGAGGTTTATTCCATGATTTCGCCATGAAATATAATTTAACCTGTCCAGACTGGATTTTAACCTATTATACTTCCAACATCCCCTTAACACAACCTCCCAGTTAGTGTTAAATTCGTAATGCAATCATTGCAAAATCAAAGGCTGACAATGCAATATCTTAATAAGATGACTGTAAGACCATTTGATTTTTATTATGAGAAATGCTGCAAATTTATGCTGTAATTTTGGTTTATTATTTTCAATAATCAACCATTGTGATTGACCAAAAAATTCAAAAACTTAACCCCCTCTCAAAATTTGAGGTTTCACTTTTCAGGATACGTAGAATTCGAAAAACGAATAAAAACATTTTTTTCCTCGCATTTCCTCCGAAACTACTAGACTGATTTTTTTCAAATTTTAATATAAAATCAGAGGTCACCCGAGGATGATCCTCCTTCATCGACATTACTATCCGCCTTTTACTTTAAAAATGGCGGCCGAAAAACATGCGTTACTATAGACTGTAGCTCCTAAACGAATTTACAGATTTCAATGAAACTTCGCTAAAGTCATTTTCTCGATGCCCTTTAAATAATTTATCTATATAACATACTTCAACGAAAAGAAGCTGGAAAAAATGTTACGAGAGATGGTAAAATTAACATTAAACATTATCTGTTGTGATTTTATTAAAATTTATGATATTTATTTCTGAAATGATCGTTATAATAATAAGAAATAAATTTAAAATCAGAAATCCTTAATTTCTTAAAATATTATTTTTTCTTACATGAGGCTGATAATTTCGATTTGATATATTATAAGTAAAATGCGAAAGATTTATTAGCTTTGAAAAGAGACCAGAATTTGCAGAACTATTGACTAAGAAACAGTACTTTCTCTAAATAGTAATGAACCTAAGACCGTTCATGGGTTGTTATTTATGGTACAGGTTTGTTATATTGTAAGTAATCACCAGTTTGTAGACGTTGGACGTTAAAATGCAGATAATGTTTAAAATTCTATAGTACAGAAATAACCTAACCTTATTATTTAACTTTAAATACAAGGACGTATTAATTAAGATCAAAACTATGGCATCATATCCACTGCCACACTGCAAAAGCCTGTAGGTATAATTTAATTAGAATGTGCAGTTTTGAGCTTTGCCGTTTAATTTTGGTTTTGAACATATTCATAAAAACAAACTAAAAAACGTTATTTATAATATACATCTTCGTCTTAGCATGCAATATATTTAATAGAAAATCTACTTCATAAAACAAGAAGTACACTGTTTATTTAGTCTTATAAATAATTTTGTATTTTGTACTTACAGGCTTTTGCAGTGTGGCTGTCGATAAGTTCTTCCATTCCTTTAAATTTATTATGGACTTATATTTAATTTAAACAATATAGTGTAATATACTTTACTTACTTCCAATTTCTTATGTCTAAAAATCGTGAACTGCTACATTTTATTTTAGATGATGTTTGTAAATGTTTTTTGTATAGATGGTGGAGGTGGAAATCGAACACCTAATTCAAAGCTGTATGCTACTTGCCTCATTTGTGGCAAACAGTTATCCAATCAGTATAATCTTCGAGTTCACATGGAGACCCATCAAAATGCCCACTATGCTTGCAGCTCTTGCTCTCACGTGTCTCGTTCGAGGGATGCCCTCAGAAAGCACGTATCTTACAGGCACCCGCAGCCACCGCCTCCAGATTTATCTGCTGCCACCCCTCCAGGGCAATACTTTTAGCACGGGGCTTACGTTGTCCTCCGTCCTCTAGTTGTCAGGGGGCTCTAGTCCACTGAGGAACCAGCAACTTTAGTTATATACTACACATCACAAGGAATACAAAAAGAAATGTACACTTTTATATTAATCTCATGTCAAATCTAATTGGGCCACAAAATCATTAATTTAGTTACCTCAATTTAATGTTTATAAGAGCTTTAGTTACTCTTGAACTATAATATAATTGACCTGAAAGAAAAAAAAAAATCAAACTTGTATAGACGAAAACAATGTCTCAAATGAATTATATAGTGGGTTAATAACAAAAATGTTGGCATTCATCGAAGTTTTTATTGCCTTATAGGAGAGGGAATAGTGAAATTTCTAATAAGTTGAATTTCTAAAATTCAAATAACAGAGGTGCCTTAATTAATTCATATTTAAGTTTTATTTTTTATCGAAGCATCTTAGACCATATTTTCAGTTAATGTAATGTTTTAACAAGTTTTGTTTAGCCTTTTTCTTAACCCAAACTTGTTTTTTATGAGTAATTTTTCTTCAATTTGGTGAATGGTTTTGAAAACTGATGCATGCCCACATCAGTTTCAGAGGCAGGATTTATTTTGTTTGATGGTTTAGAAAAAGTTTTTAAAACTTATTCCTTCTAGTAATGTAGGTTTGTGTTACATTTCATTTGATAAGGATTGTGCCATTCAATAACGGTAGTTGAAGAAGTTATATATTGATTTTTATTTAATTTTTTTTTAACTAGTCTTTTTTCCATATACTAGTCTTATAATATCTTATTATTACTGATCAGTTTTTAGTAATAATGATGTTATTTTGTGATATATTTATTAGTAATTGTGTAAATATTAATATATTTGTCATATTTATGAGGAAGTTGTTAAAATGTTTGTTCGAGACCAAACCTTTTCATAGTTACCGAACACTTCCGTATATTTATAGTGGTATTATTCTACAAAGCCACCTTGATTACTGTTCTAACAGTATAATTTATTTTTGTTTCATCTATCTCATAAATAAAACAAATGTTTAGTAGCAGTATAAACCAGTGCTCGTTGTTAGTGAGAGCAGGGTGAAATATTTCCCCTTGTTACCTCTCCAAAGATTATTAATTATATGTGATCTCGATTATTTTAGTTAATTATCGTAAGTGGTTGGTTCATTTTTGTTTGAATCAATATAACACTCAATCTAAAACCAATCTCAGTAAAAACATTTTTTAAGTCAAAACTTAAATTTTCTCGGATATTGACAACAATAAAAATCTGTAAATATTTATTCTTATTAAGGAAAAGAAAATCTTATTTTAAAATTGTTTATGTTTTCAGAGTATATTGAAATATGAATTTATTTTCTGTAGATTAATACTGTACCAAATAATCAGTATGGTATTGTGGTCCAATTAAAATTGACATGTGATTTTGTTGTTCTGTAAGATTTATTTATAGTTGATAACATTGCAGTACGTTGTGCAATATTAGAAGTGTAAATTTTTAAACTATTTTGTAGATAAAAATTCACACCTAGTATTTGAGTGTTTTTGTCAAGAGTTCAAATCTAAGAATTTTCAAAGACTATTTTTTAATTTTAATTTCAAATAATGGACAATCACTATTTTACACATATAAACATAGAATTATCACGTAATTAACAATAAGTAGATACCAATTATAGATTCTAATTTTATGCACATTTATTCGATTGAATTTATGTCGATGCTTTCACATTGTGTATTTAATTATAAATATTTATAACGGTGTTAATGAAACATATTAGTGAGAGATAAGTGCCGAAAGTAAAAGAGCACATATCGTGTAAAAGATATGTTATTTATCATATCACTTAGTGATTACTTAAGGTGTTGGTAAGTTTTGTGTTCCTCTTAAATACTTAAAAAAAAAAAAAACAGGTGATATGTCGTTATGAATTGTATACAAAGGTTACCTCTATAAAACTTCAACCAGTGATATGATTAGCCCAAAGTATTTATTGGGACAAAAAAGTTATTTATTTTTAAATTATTTAGAAAATATTTTATTTATGTCCCCTCCAGTAATTAAATAAGTATATATATTATAAAAAAAAAATGAAACAAAAGAAGGATAATTCCTCGTTTGTCTGTAAAAGGGTGTGGAAAAAAATCGAGTGATTTTAGTTAATAGGCAACAGAAATAGTTACCAATAAGTACAAAAGAGGTTAGAGTAGATGTTATTAGTTCAATTTTATTTTTATCCTGTATATTTAATAATAATAATAAAAAGAAAGAAAGGCTTTTAAAAAGTCTGTTTAGGTGCCTTATAGTTCCTAGGTTATGAGTTATCAATCTACATTGTTATCTAGTCTCTTGTAATAGAGTACTTATATGAAAAAAAAAAGATAAAAACCTAACAGTTAGCCTTTGTGGTGCCTTTCCAAACAGTATAATAACATGCAGTTTTCCTGTGCCTTAGGAATGTTTAACAACTTCCAGACAGTTGTGGTTGGTAATTTGTTTGGCATATACGAACTGTATTAAGGTATATAAGGTTGTGAAAAAGGAAAGTTTTTGTTATTGTTATTTATTGTTAATATTGGAAATAATTAATTTTGCAAATAGCTTGTGTTTTATTTAAGTCCTCTTATTTTACCATTTATCCTTTAAAGCCTAAAATCTGGAAAGTATTTAAGTTTAGATTTATTTTTATTTTCTACATAAAGTTTTTTTAAGATACATGTTAAAAAATTCTATGATTTATCTCAATTATTTTATTTTGATTTACCCTCTACATCATTTTACTAGAACTGGTCATGAGAACTAAGGGTTGACGTTACCACTCTTACAAGAACTCGTCAGGAAAACTACTGTTCCCAAAATCTATACTCACTGCTATAAATTTATGGATCCATAATTTCCACATTTTCGAGTCTATTCCCTCATCAGACACCCAGAAACTCCAAAAAAAAAAAAAAAAAAGAATTTGTTTTATGAAACTACTAACTCAACAAGTGCAGAGTTAAATGTTAAAGTATGGAGAAATAATGTGCCACATTTTCCTTAATTTAAATTTATATTTTTTTCCTCCAAAAATCCATAAATATCCAGCTTATACAATCCTAACAAAAATAGCCAAAGATATTTTTATACATTTTAAAAACTACAGAAAATGCAAATGTCATAATTGGTTGTTTCTATAGGCTATTGTTTTTATTTCTTGTTCATGCTCTTTCAATCTGATGTCGATTTTCAAGTATAATCAAAGGGAGTTTGGGTAAGCGCTAAAGTCGCAATCGTTCACTATTTATATTGCTTGAAAGATGTTGAATTTAATAATTCCTGATTAAGAATTTAAATGAATTTTCTTAATCTCCTATTTTCTTTGTCAAATTTTATGCGTTCTATCATTTTCTTTTACTTCATTTTAATAGGTAAGGGCAAATGCAATTCTCAACATCTGGCATGTTTGTTTCTCTGGAAATACAGAAAGGTCTAAACCCTCTGCTTCTTGTGTTTTAGTCATATTATGTTTCTGGTGTTTTTTTAGAAGGTCTAAATCTGGCTTTGTTTTTTAAGTCCATATCCTATTTAATAAACGCAGGTGCTTATTCCCTTATTATTCAGAAGCATTCAAGGATTGTGTTTACTTGTAAAATTATCTGTAATCACGTTTGAAATGGAACTGTTGAGTAACTGACATTCTCTCCTGCTTAATTTCATTTAGTTTGTTATTTTTATTAAGATAAGAACTCATGTTTCTTTTTTTCATGAAGATGTTCATTTACCTAATTGTATTTCTTTGTTTTTATCGCTTTAACCCTCCTGTGGTCATCTATGCCTGTTTTCAGGAAATTTAAAACTTTATTGAGTCTTCATAATTTTTTAGAAAATCAGATTTAGGGTATGAACATGGATCAAGTTCAAACATAATGAGGACACTTGCAAAATATGGCTGACTGTGAGTGTATTACTTGGTGTTGGCATTTCATTGGTGGCTGTTTGCTTATTAGGTAATAATGAGTCATATTTATTTGGCCTATTCTCAGTACAATTACTATAACCTTCTCACTGTAGATAGAGCGATATGATGTGGTGGACCATGGTTTAATCGATTTTATCATTGAATTCACTTATTCCACATACCTTATCATATTTAGTATTTATATGCATTAAACTTTCCAAATAAAATGACTATACTTTTAATTATAAGAGATGATTAAATTAGATTATATAACCAAATAACCCTTTTATTTAAACTTATTAAATACTGCTTACCATAGCTAAGTATTTAGTGTAGTCAAATCTAAGGGTTGAGTACACAGAATAGAGTAGCGTGAGCGCAAGTTGCATCATCAAAATTGTTGAGGGATTTACAGTTTTATAGTTATGTTTTTTTTTGAGGAAGTCATATTTTTGTGGGATTTCAAAACAAACTACATTTTTTATGACTACTTTCATTTGCACCATTTTTAAGAAGAGATGAGCAATATTATTACATAGGACGAGAGAGGGCATGCCTCATCATTCTTGGGAGAAGGGAGATGAACACCCTTAGTGAGCATCTCACTTAATTAAGACATAACGAATGAAAACCAAAATTTTATCTCAGGAAAACGTAACCATAATTTGCTGATACTACAACTATATAACTAGAAGTAATAAAATGTTTAAAACTAAAAACCCATCTCCAGTTTTCCTAATTATAACCGGTCAGAATGATGCTTTACATAATTTATTTTTACTATCACTTGCCTCTACATGAAATTTACAGTAAGAGAAAGTAGCATGATGTTTTCAACATAATTTCCTGTCTATGAACAATCTAGCTCTAAAACAAAAAACTATGAAACTGAAAGCAATATTTTAGGTAGGTATTAGTCCGGGGTGTTAGAGACATTTTTGTCAGATGTCACTCTATTTAATCAGTTGTATGAAATTTCCTCGATTTTGATTGAACTTTTTATATCAATGTAAAATAAAATAGCCTTTAATATCAGGTAGATATTGACCTCATCGAAAAAGTGTGACAGGTCTTAAATGATGATTTTCTTAATTGAAAGTAGTCTTGATTTTGTTTATTTGAAATAATTAAAGTCTCTCATTGTAAGTATTAATGAAAATAACCCTAGAAATGGCTAGATGGGGAAGGAAGTAATGAATCAGACTGTTTTAACCATATAATAGAGTTTGTTATTTTTATGCACTGTAATGATTTTGCATGTAGGTCAATGTAAGCATGATAGATATGACTAAAATTCACTAATCTGTTCTTTTATGGTTTAGACAGATCATAAATATGTTTTGTAATAGCCCTATTTGGGCAAAAAATAATTCCTGTTCAAATTAGAGTTGTCTGAAACACACATCAAATTTTTATGTTCCTATACTGACTATTAGAATTATTCCTCTATCTTATTTTCTATCTGGATAAAAAGTAAAGAGAAGTTATTTTTCGATAAAAAATAAATGAGTAAAAAAAAAAAAGAAAACAAAAGCTTTGTTATACTGTTTTAATTGTATGAACATAATAAATACTGTTTAATAATCCATAAATATTTAAATAATATAATTTATATCAATACTTTGTATAAAGTATATAAAATTATGACAAAAATAATGATTTTATCAAATAAAAAGGAACAATATGCCCTCATTTTGATTATAACATGTTTCACATTTAGCAGATGTGAAAACTAAAAGTTTATGTATTTATCTTCTTTTTATAAAATGGATATTTTATTTGTCACAATTATACAATGTCTGAGACATTAAGATTTTCATAAATAAATTAAGATTAATAAATGCTCTGATTTCATTCAGCTCTTAAAATCACAAATGAGTAGGCAACGAGTAGGCCACCAGAGGAGTTTACGATATAGGCTGAATGGTCCAGATTTTTGTATTGCAGTCTTGCCCCACAGAAACCAAAGTTTCATCGTCCACCCAGACAAGCCTTGTGATCTGGCTTTGTGGATGGGCATCTGAAACAAAACATAAGTAAGTTAATATATAATTTGGTGCATATTTTATACATCAATGTGAGATATGATTAGTAAATTCTCAATAAATTCTTGTCACTAATAACAAATGGCTTAACATAACTTTTAACATAGTCCTCATTGTATTGTTTCAAGAATTTTTTTTTTATCTTATTTTATTAGGTAGTTATTGTCTGTGATTCATTTTTATTAAAATATACATCTCGCTTTGTGAATTTCGAAACCATACTTTTGTGTATAAATTACTTTCCGTTTTACTTATTTTTTCTTCTATACAATTATGAGTATTTGTTTAAACTTTTTTAAAATAACAGAAGTAATTCTACATTTTTTAAAAGATTTTTGCTGATAATATTAAATTAAATGTTTTCCCTTATATTTGTTTTAGTAGCGAATATAATATGTCACTATTTTTGTTATTTTTCTATAACTATATATACTCTATTAATAGACTTATAATACTCTATATTTTGTAAAATTTATCTGAGTTGAAATTAATCTCAATTAGTTGGTAAAAATATAAACTCAACAAAAAAAATTGATTTTTTAAAAGTTGTTGGAAAATTGATACTGTTTAACAATTATTTTAATTTATGTTTCACGATAATATATAGGCAAGAAGCATTTAAAGGACATCATTTTATTTGATAATCTATAAAAAAGAAACAAATAAAGTTAAAAAAAAGATAAATAAAGTAAAGAGTAACACAGATGATAAAAATTTCAAATATATATATATATATATATATATATATATATATATATATATATATATATATATATATATATATACATATGACAAAAATGTTTAAATTAATAATCAGGCAACTTATAATAAAATCAAAATAAAAAACAGAAACACACTTTAGATGGAAATATTTAGAAATTTTTTGGATAGAATATACATACAAGAAATGATCAGAAGTTTACTAAGATAAGGGAGTGAAATGAAGGAAAAAGCAAAAGATGTAAAATACATTCAGAACAAAGATGGTAAAAAAAAAATTACTTTAAAGTTTTGTAGCTTTTTAACTATATACAAGTATTATGTCATTAAGAAATGAGACATCCTGCTTATAGTTATTTAAGAAAATATTATACCAATCAAAGTTATCCATAAAGTTATAGAAAATTTTTTTACACTGATAGTAAAATGAACTACATATATCAAACTATTGAGAGAGAGATTCCTAAATCACTTATTGACATTTACCTGTTAATTCATGAAAACAGGAGTAAGTACTTACTTTTAATAATTGTGTGCTTTGCTGGATGGAGAACACTCCATATAATAATAGTAGTGTCCAGTGATCCGCTTGCTACTTGTATGGAATTAGGAGACCATGCCACACAATTTACTCGAGCATTATGGAATCCCCATTCTTTTTTGTGAGCAAGCTAAAGAAAAAATAGATATATTAAAAAGAAATAAATGTATGCTTTCACATAATGATGCCTTTGTTTATGTGTCAGAACCTATAGGGCATAATACTCCACATTCCTTGGTTTTGAAGGGTGAGTGTACAGACTTTAGTGGAAGAAGATGAGGGATAACCTCATTCTGATTGGTCACTTACACCTTTTTAGTTCCCATGCTGGTTTGGTCAGGTATACACTATGGGTTTGTTGAGCAGGTTTATTATGAAAAAACAGAAAAGTTATCGTTAATGTTCACAGAGAGCTTTTAGGAACATTTAACATTCCTTGCACCAGTGGTTCATGATGTGGAAAAATTGCATCTCAACTGAAAATTTAAAAAAATAAACACATGATCACTAAGAACATTTTGAGGCCATTAAAAGGAAAAGTATTTAAACATAGCCCTATGTCCTCAATGAATTGAGACATTAACCGAAGAAATTGACACCATACCCATCACTCACTGTTGGGCTTTGGAAAACTTAAAAGAATGACTTTGACAAAGTTTAAGCCATTCTATACTTCAATAATTCTTAATTGTTAAGCGAATATAGATATTGTCAAAATTAAATAACCATTGGACCCATCAGAAAACTAAGGCATCATTATGTTCTTCTGAATAGTATATATCATTAATTAATTGCCAAACTAACCAAGTACAGTTTTCATTGAACTAAAATTTTAAATACTTTTTGGTGAATTGAAATCTTATTTATTGATACATAAACACACTAAGTGCATCAAAATGACACAAACCCTTTTAAATATGAAACTTAATTTTATGATTTAATATGATCTGATTTCACGGAGCGAAAATTTGTCAAAGTACTTAATGATTTAACTATATGAAATGTTATCTAACGACTTTTTGCAATAACCCCATTAAAATTATTTATTGTAATAGTTAATTAAAACAAAAACCAGTGCACTTGTTTATTAAGTAGTAAATTGTATCAACACCCCCATGTAGTTTAAGAATAGAAAAAAGTAAGACAAAGCATACAAGCAGATATCAATAAATGAAGCCCAAGAATACAAATTAATAATGAATGTACAGTCAAGTTAAAAAAGAAACTAATAGGAAAGTCCCAGTCCCAGGTGAAAAATTAAAAAAGTGTAAGAGATCTCAACTATAAATACAAAGTTTTAAATTTAATGGACAGATGAAATCATAACTCACACAATTGTTTTCTGAAAAGAAAAACAACTTTTTGATGGCCCTTCAGATAAAAACTATTAATTTAATTTGTTGCAGCTTTTAAGTTTTTTTTAAAGATTAATGTCAAATACATATTATATGAATGTACTGTTTTTATAACATGTTTAAACGAATCTCTCAATAACTCTAAACAGCCAAGCTGGTGAATTAAAAGTAAAGTAACTGGCTTTATGTAATCTAAATACAGTGAATAAAAAATATGGTAAAACTTACTTTCTGTTCCAACAAGAAGCAAGCATGAATAAAAAAAGATACAAATATAAGTTAGTAAGTAGCAGAAGTTAAAATCATAAAAATTTTAAGTAAATAAAAAAAAAATTCAAAATAAAGATTAGTAAAAAATTGACTTATTTACATCACTAAAATTAGAATTGTCTGTCATATCTCAGAAACTTTTAATTGTGTTTTGAAAAGAAATGATAAAAATCAAAGTTTTTGGTGAAGGATGGATTTTTTCATAATTTATTTTTTATTTAAAGATACTATATTTTTTAAAGACAGATTTGAACCTTAGTAATTTCTGAAATACATTATTAACAATAAAATCATGTTAGAATGTAATGAGTACAAAAAATGTTGCCTACAAGGAAATAGTTAATTAAAAAGATACTTTTTAGAAGAAAATATAAAATAATACTTTCATTCTCATTGAATTTAAACTGGTACTAATGATTGATAAACTTTACTAAAGTTAAAATAAAATTTAGTACAATATTGAGCAGTAAAAAAAAAAATAAATAAATAAAAAAAAATAAAAAATTTAGTACGAAAGTATAAACTTTCGTAAATGTAAAATTATTTCCTAATGGGTTTTTAAAATCAGCAGAGCTAGAAATTTAAAAGTATACACTATATCTCACTAAGCCCATCACTCATTCAATTCGCTGAATCATGAGTAAAAAAATATAAAAAATTAAAGAATATGAAGATAATCTGTTCTCATATTTTCATTTCAAATGCTATCCTCGGTTATTTGAATTTTAAAATATTGTTTCCATAACATTCGTGCAATTTGAACAGCTCCAAAACTATTCTGATATTTACATAGTCATTTCCTTAAGAGAATGACAATAAAATCATAATGTTTTCCGAACAGTTCTTGCAATGCAATTAACAAAGTAAAGCTTTATCAAAGGCAGATCATGTTTATTTGAATGCAATCAGACCAGTTAGATATTTTAACATACATCTAAGTATATCTATTTATCTAGGCAAGAGTTTAGTTAGAAAATAATTACATTACCTGGAACTCGGGAACGGTATAAAGGATAACTTTTCTGTTTGCATCGCATGCAACAAGATATTTACTATCAGGTGAGAAAACGCAATCCGTAACAGGTCCTAGATGTTCACAAGTGCATTTCTCAATTAGGCTAGTTCCACTCATAGTGAAAATGTGAACCTGTGAACGAAATCATTCAATTAGTTATTCTATTGAAGTAATATAATTTTGATTTAAAATGTAAAATAAGAAATTAACTAAAACCTTATTATCTGATAAACCTCCTACAGCAACAATGGGTTCCTCTCGGCATATCGATACAGCAGATGGTTCATAACTGATCGGAAGAGCACTAACTTTTCTGTTTTGTTCTATTACTATAATCTAAACAGAGAAAAAACAAAACAAACAAATAGATATAATTATATTAAATAACTATAAAATTGAATAATTAATACAAAATTTATTTGCCTATCTCTGTTGAGTGGGTTTTTGTTTTATTTTCACCATTTATTCTCAAGTGGGTTGAGAATAAATGCAAGTCGAAAGTCACTTAGGAATTGTACCAAATAATTTTAAATAATGATCTGGATTGCAATTTTTAAAGAAAAAACTAAATTAAATTTTAGAGGAAAATAAGAATTTTATCAAAAAGACAACCAGCTTGATATAAGTATAGTAATAAAAAATAATTTTACTAAAATGTCAGAAATCAACTGTGGGAACAAAAGTCATATGCTGCTTTCATGAATGATTGATTGGATTTGAGAAAAGTTCATACAAATAAAATCTGGTGTGTCCACTCATACGACTTTCCTACCTATTTCAGAAAAGTTTTTATATCTTTACATATGTTCATGAAGAAACAAAAAAGAATTGAACTAGATAAATTTTCCTGAAAATTGATCAAACATAAGATTTGAGTACGATTTATTTGATAAACTAAAGCAATGTAAACCGGCTTAAGGTAGTTAATTTCTGTTAAATGTAGAGGAAATAGTGAAGATTGTGTGATACTGGCAACAAATTTTCTTACATTCACTTTAGTCATCTCTATTCTCTCATTCACCCCTTTCTGACAGCAGGATATGAAAACGTAATCTTACATTGGAAATTGAATAGCCGTAACTTTGTTAATAGTTGTCCAAAATGAACGATTTTTATATGGCTTTGTAGGGAATTTCATTAACTTTCAAATGACAGGCTAAACGACATGTTTTTCGTTGTAAAAAATAGAATAAGCTGTATCATGACTAATACTGGTTGGATTCCGATGATTTTTTTTTTGTTTTGTTGGAAATTTAATTACCTTTCAAAAGATTTATTATAAATTTTACCGTATAACATACACTTAGGGAGTTAGGCCCCATAATATTTTCCTTTTCTTTATAACTTTTTTTCCTGAATTTTTTCGGGAATTTAGTATATATACGAAAATTGAAAGGACAATGATTAGCACATAATAGGAAAGTTGTTAGAGCCATTTTTGCGCTACAGTCTATAGAAAAACATGTTTTTCATTTCTTGCGCGCAAGCTATTGCGCATGGAGCACCGAATTTCTGTCACAGGCATCAGTAGTCAAAACCCTACAAAATAAAAAAAGAAGCAACAAAATCGGTTCAGTAGTTCCCGAGAAAATCTTGGCACAGACAGACAGACAGACCAATGGCTTAAAATGGGTTTTTCGGACTCAGGGTGCTCTGAAACGTATAAATCCGTCGAAAACCACATGTCGGAAATTTGACCCAATTGCAATACTTTCCTTACCTAGTATAGGTAGGAAAGTAAAAAAATTGTCATAATTACGTATATTACCAGAAGACTTGTACATTCTTTTCCCTTCAGTCAATAAAATAATATATATAAGGATTAATATGATTAAATATGTACATGTTTACTATAATTTATATTTTGTCATTGGAATATCTTTACTTGAGGTTCATATAATGTTTGAATATCTCAATCTCAATTTTTAATCAGTAAATTACTAGAAAAAAAAGAAGAAATATTGTCAAATTGTCCCCTAAAATCATTCATTCCGAAAGAATTTGTAACGTTCATGTAGAAAAGAGATATTACCAGGACAGATCCATCACCATCCTATCCCAGTCGACTGCCCTATCATGCAACCTAATATTACCATAAAGCTTTTTCCTAGCATTTAAAATATTGGAAATTAAATGAAAAATATTTTTTAAACAATTAATTTCTGGATGAAATAGCTTCTATTATTACATTAGTTTAATTATCAAATTATCAAAGTTTTTTTAAATTATATTAGAACACTGAATATTTAGTATTTCACAATTATTATTTTAAGCATTCATCAGGAAATATACTGAAAATAATGTAACGAAATTTTGTAGAGCCCTGGGTAATAAAACAATTTTATTCATTAAGCATATTTAGATAAAAGTTTAATTACTTAATCATTTACCTTACCTCTTTAACACTGGCAGCAACAACAAAACCTTCTTTGACATCCATTCCTCGTGGTTGGGCACCTAACCTCACATCAGCTCCAGTATATTTGTTCAATGTGAGATCTATTTCTTTAACAGAGTCGTCAATACCACAGGTGTACATGCGAGTATCTTCTGCTTTCATTGCATTTATCTGGTTACCATGACCTACACCCTCCACGCGATCATTATCACCTACAATTTAACAAGGAAATATAAGTAATGAAGAAACTAAAGAAAACTTAATTGAATAATAAATTAAACAAGATTTTAAAAAAACCATACCTGTTTTAGCATCCCAAGAAGTAATAAATCCATCATGAGATCCAGTATAAATCTTCTCCCTATCAGGACTAAGAGCCAGCACCGTAATTGGCTTATTGTGGCCCTTAAAGAAAGTAATTACAAATTTTCTATTAATTCTCTATTTAAGAGAAAAATAAAAAGAATTGATGAAAATATATTTATAGATCTATGTGGAATTTTATTAATTCTTTAATAATATATTTTTGGTTTATTTTTTAGTCCAAGACAGACCTAGGGCCTCTATCTACAGACAGACAGGCCTAGGCCGTCACCTGTTTTTTACGTGTATGTCCCTTTTCCCTTTTTGTTCCGATTATTTTTGTTGGCATTCATTCATTTTTTATTTACTGCACATTTCATAGCTAGCTGATTATTTAAGTCTTTATAAATCTTACAATGTCTTAGTTTTCTAAAATGATGTTTAAAACACTTCTTCGTCATCAAGGGAAGAGGTCCTTCCACGGCAATTTTTGTCTACAAGCCTGAGTCTCTTTAAAATTTTGTATACAATTTTTGAACAGTGCACTTACACCGATATCACTCCAGACTTCCATAATGTTCCTGGCCATTTGGCTCCTGTTCCATCTAAGCTTAAATTTGGTAAACAAAATTATGCAAAAATCATGCATAAAGTTCAGACTGAATTATTTCCAACTAGTGAAATGCTACAGAAGATAAAAAAAGTCTGCAAAGGTCAGTAACGCTTCCTCACCATTTTGACTGGCTGAAAAATATCTATATTACATCTAAAATTTTTCGTATGAGAATAAAATCTCTGGGAGAAGCCATTTTCGGAAATTAAGTAATCTCTCAACATATATGGGTTTGATATCCACGAGTTTTGTTCATCAGCGAATAATAAAATGTGAAACTCTTTGTATAGTAGCAGACTACAAAACGTCACCTTTAGTACAAACAGAACAAAAATTGAAAATTGTTATATACAATCTTTTGCACTAACAGTAGCGATATATACTTAATAGGTATGTTTTCACTCATAAAATGGATGGAATAAAAAATCCCTAGGAAAAATTCAACTTTTTGTTTGTTTGGAGTTAACTAGAATTGAATGAACATCAGTCAGAACAAAACTAATTAGGCTGAAATATAAAAATATGAGTGCAGTTCACACAACTTTGATATATAAAGATGAATTAGAGACCACGACGAGCTCGTTGAAATTCAATAGAAATAAAAACAATCATAAACAAGATTTTTTTTTTTTATGAATTCAGAGTAAAAATTAATTTAAATTTACTGAAAAACGAGGGAAATCTAAGCAACAGCAATAAGTGCCATGCCAGTTATGTTTAGAATTGACCAAACAATACAGTATAAATTAACTTTTAGAATAAAACCTAAAATTTTATGACCATATAAAAATATAGAATTAACCTAACTCTCACTCCATACGATCAATGTCTTTCATATTTCACAGTCATTATATTTTTGACAATTATTTATATTAACTTTGATAATTAAATGGAATTCAATGAAATTTATATTGCCGTTTTCAAACTGTAAACGTGTCAAATAATACATTTCCTGATCTGAAAGCAGAAGTATTTTTTTTGGAAGTAGTGGATAGAATTTGATAAAATTGACTTACTTAATTATCTGTTAACAAATCTCTATCTCCCCTCCAAATTTGAGCCAAATCAATTGTGTGTTTATGAGATGTAGATGTATTAAATAAAAGACATTTGCCCATATATGAGAGAAAGTAGAAGAAGGAATTCAATGAAATTAATACTTCACTATTTTTTTTATAATATCAACCTTTTGTCCAGCCTTTAGTCAAATAGAACGAGCTGTTTCTGAAATATTGGCATATCTAAGAACATACATTTATGCGAATGCAAGCTGAAGTGTTGGATGAAAATTGATATGGCACTATCTAGGCACCAATCCGCACAATCCCTGAAAATCAGTAGCAGGTTAATATGCCCGTTACATCCATTTGACTACAGACAGACAGACACGGAACCAAATTTGATCCTTGATGTCTGAAACATAAAACGCGAGTGGAAATTTTCAATTTTGAGCATAGAATTTTTTTTAACCTCTCGCACGAATAAAATGCTCCCCTACCTTCGGTAGGGAGGAAACAAAATAATTTTGCTTGGAAGGGGATTAATAAGTATCACTGACACCCATACAAAACAATAATCCCTGAAACCGAAACATTTTGTTATACAGAGGATTAATATAAAGAAAACATGACATGCATTTTTTTTTTCCGAACAAATCAATTCAAAAAAGTTATCATTACTGAGTTTTTCTTACATTTAAGTGAGATTTTATTACTGTATAATAAAAACAATAGGGACTTAAAAACAACAAAGCATCTGGAGAGGATGGAGTATTGGCGGAAATGTGGAAAGTAACAGGTGATGAATTCAGGAAGATCACAGAATTGATGATGGACATCTGGATAGAGGAAAAAATCCCCAGAGAATGGAAAACCGCCTTGATACATCCACTGCATAAGAAAGGAACAAAAACAGAAGGTGACAACTACAGAGGAATTTCCCTACAACCCGTCAGCTACAAAATTTTCTCCAAAGCACTACTCAACAGGCTAAACCCACAAATAGACCCTAAAATCGGAGAATATCAGGGAGGCTTCAGAAAGGGAAGATCATGTCAAGAACAAATCCTGAGCCTAAAATTATTGATAAAATGCTACAAAACAAGGCCCAAAAAGAACCTCTACATCTCGTTTGTTGATTTTAAAAAAGCGTACGACTCAGTGGATAGAAAGACACTACTGGAAATACTGAGAGAATACGGAGTGGACCAGAAGAGCAGGAAACTAATAGAATTAACACTAACTGACACTGACGAATCCAAGGTAATATTCAGAGGAACCACCAGCAAATCTTTCCGGATAAGGACAGGACTCAGACAAGGAGACGGTCTCTCCCCAACACTATTCAACGTGGTACTAGATAGGATAATGAAGGAATTGTGGAAAACCAATGATGTTGGTGCAAGTATAGGGACCAAAAACAACCACGTCAAGGTAAGGTGTCTTGCCTACGCAGACGATTTTGCACTTTTAGCAGAAACGGAAGAAGAGGCAATCGACCAAATAAATACACTGATGGAAATAGCCAAAAAAGCGGGTCTCCAAATCTCCTACGAAAAAACAAAATTAATGAGCACAGACGCAGACTTCAAGAAGAAAACAGTGGAAACCAAATATGGGTCTATAAATGTAACAAATAAATTTAAGTACCTGGGTGAGACTATGTAATAATGGTTCGGAAATTCTACAAGGCTATTACTAAACATTGATTGATAGATTGATTACAATCACTTATAGTATAGAGTATATTAATTATCCCATTTCAGACTGCATCAATCTTCAGAATCAATTAAGCTTTTATATCAGGTCGGATAGAGTGAGAAATCAGGTGCATTACTGAAGGGGGTTTAGGTGTTGTTGCTTTGAATAGAGGATATTATAAGGGCGAAAAATAATTAAATAAAAATATAATTTTATAACAATAATAATTTAGTCATTCGTTATCTTTATAATAGTATTTAAATCACAGGTATTGTTTCCATAATATACATCTCAGACTGTTCATTAATAATATAGACTATGTGAGGATGGACCTAAGCAGTAGTTGCAAACTTATTAGCCAAAGAGCTAAATATGAACATTACAACAATTTTTTAAAAAATTGGGAGCCAAATCTACTTGTTTAGTATAAATTTCATACTTAAATATTTATTAATGCCAACAATGTGCTTGCATCTCCTTGGAAAGTTTGAGTAAGTCAGGTTTGTATGTTGTTGTTTTTAATTTTAGGCATGATTCCAAGTTCTCATCAATAAGACGACTTCTCAGTTTACTCTTGATAATGTTCATGCTTGAAAAGATTGTTCGCATATATATGTAGAACCGAAAAGGAAAAGTAAGGCAAACGCGAGCTTTTTCAGCTGATCGTAAGTCAGGAATACTATTCCAAGCGTTGAAAATGATCATGTCTTCCTTCTCCAGGTCATTCAAAGCAGACCACTTGTGTTGTGAACTAAGATCACATTTTTTCTTCTCCAATATTTCCAATTCAACACAAAGACGTTCGAATTTAGAGCGCCATATCTCCTTGTTTTTTAAATCCAGCAATTGTATTTCAAAGCTACCAATGTCAATTTCAAAAGGAGAAAATTTCAACTCGGTTATCGTAGCATTAAGAGGATTTTTGACAAATGCTGAAGTTGCTCTGCTGTTTAAAACATACGAACAATTTCAGGCGGTAGCTTGTACATGGTTTGTGTTTACGTTAACGAAAACTAATAAAATTTAACTCGATGTTAGTTACGTATTTTTACAACAATATAAAATTTTAATTACTTATCTACCTTTTAACTTAAACAAAAATATGTTCTCAATTTATAGAAGAATTTTAATTTATTAAAATAAAATGTAATTATTTTCTTACCAAGTTTCTTTTTTTTTAATGAAAATATTATCAAGGAAAGAATATCCAAATTAGAAAAACTAACTTTTGCAACTAGTAACATATACAACAAGAGAAACCTGTCCACGGAAGCAAAAATACGACATTACAATACAGTTGTTAAACCTGTGATACTATAAGGGACGGAAACCACATGCCTCCCCAGTCTGGAAAAATTGTTGAGAATAGAGCGAAGAATTGTAAGAAGGATTTACGGCCCCAAAAAGACAAAAGAAGGATACAGCCTAAGATCCAACCAGAAAATATACAAGGACACAAGAGATCTAGAAATGGAAATAAGGATCAGGAGACTGAAATTCCACGGACATATGGTAAGAATGGTCCCAGAAAGACTTAACAAGGAAATATTCCAAAAAATCCGTAGATACAAAAGCTTAGGAGGAAACATCAGGCAGATGAAGGAAGAAACGGAAAGAATTGGAATATCGGACCAGGACTGTCTGGACAGAGAGGGGTATGGTAAGAGACTAAAGGAGATCACGATTCTTGTTAAGAAGAAAAGTTCGAGAAAGGGAGTCACGTGGAGATAATGAAAGAGAAGTGGAAAGAAAGGAAAAACAAGAAAGAAGCCAAATGTCATGATATTCGCATGGTCTCTGTGGCCGTTCCGTGAAGAAAAAAAAAATAAAAAAAACAAAAAAAAAATAGGTCTTTTTAAACATAAGGACTATCAGCCAACTTGTGTTGGAGCAGACATAATATAATTTACAATAGAAACAATAACTTTTTTATGATCCTCCACTATTTATGAATTAATGATTCTTAAACCCCTTTTATAACGATAACTTATCTCGGTTATTACTACTTATATGGTATATTACTTACCTTAATAATCCTAATGGGCTTATCTGGGTTATTAACATCAAGGTAATTAATAAAACCAGATAGAGAGACGGTAAGAAGGTGCTGGCCTTGCCACAGACAGGACACTTGCTGGTCTTCTACTTGAGATCCCATGACGAACTCACTGACGACAGTTCGGGTCTCGACATCCCAAAGCTTACATGTCTTATCACCTGAGGCTGTCAACAACTGAGTACCATCAGGTTTCCAAGCAACCTAAATAAAAGAGAATGCTTTTTATAATAAAAACATCACATGCCTAATGAGTTTAATCTTTTAGAAATCAATCAATAAAAATAATTTTTTTAAAAATTTGTAAATTCTAGTATCAGTAAATAAATAAAGTCTAAATATAGATCAATTATATGGAGTTCCAAAATGAATTAAGATTCATTACAATCCTCTTAAGACAGCATTCTTATAAATAGATTCAGATATACAAAACCAGTTATTCAAAAACTACAATTTTTTCTTTGCCTTACACTTCAGGAAAAAATCTGGTGCGTGCAACACACAACTTTCACTTACCGCTCAACTTTGAATAGAAATTATTTTCTGGCTATTGTAAATTTTTTATTTATTTATTTAATGAAATTTACAACTGTATAAACAATAGAACTAGTAAAAATGCACAAATTAGAAATAATGACATGAGCAGACTTGAAGAGATACTGGCCAGTGATAGCACTCCCTATTTAATTCTAGGTGAGAAGATCACAAGGCCATTTTCTTTTCAGACGCCTAGGGGGATTATCAGGAATCGAGAAAGAAGCAAGGCTGGAAACAAGTGGATTCGGATGGGATCTGAGTTTATCATGAAAGGATAGGTATCTGGCTCGAGTAAAATTTTTAATGTTGTTATAATGTTGGGTTATTATAAAACTTTTGAATTGCATTTTTAATCAAGCTAAAGCTAAAAATTACAGCTAACAAATCATAAATATCATTAAAATAAAAAAAGTTCTATTTATTATATCACTGGTTGATTATGGATTATACGATCCGTTGATTATGGATTGCATGACTATTAGTTACTAATTGTTATTTTCCATTGCAAAGTTTACTAAAACGGAATTAAGAAATTCGCATTTTCTGTCATACAAGTCAAAATTTGTCACACTAATTGTAAGTGGATACTGTTGGAATATCACAAAAGTTAATTTCATTTAACTATTCACTAATTTAATTTTCTAAAAGGTAACATGATGATTTTTTGGAATAAATGAACAATAGACACCTAGCTAAATATTTTTTAAATATAGTATCAGATCTAGAATTATTAAACTACAGTAAATTTATTTAAAAATAAATAAATAAAATAAAAATAAAAGACCACAATAATCCCTCTTCCTTAATCTCAACTTCCACTAATTCTCCACAACCCATTTCAGCCCCTATATACAGATCTCTACCTTATATTCCTAACCTTTCAGACAACATCAACAAAGTTTTACGATCTACTAACCCTAACTTACGACTTGCATTCAAATCTCACAACACCCTCTCAAAACTATACACATCCCTAAAAGATCCGGTTCCTCTCTCACACCTCTCTCATATCGTTTACCGTATTCCATGTTCTACCCCCAATTGTTTTTCATCCTATATTGGTGAAACCAAAAATCTCCTAAAAGACCGCATAACCCAACATAAATATTCTGTATCCTCTCGTAATTTTACCGCTTCCAAATTATCCGAACATTCTCTCTCCCTCAATCATTCATTTGATTTCGACAAAACATCCATCCTTGCCACAGTTCTCAACCATGACAAACGACTCATTTCTGAAACCCTCCACATCCAGCTTCAACCAAAGACAGTGAATCTTAAATCTGACAAACACAACTTTTCTTTAGCCTATTCCCAAATTCTGAATTTATTAAAACATCCATAGTTATATTCCTTTCCTTTTTGCTGACAACTCCCTTATATATATATATATATATATATATATATATATATATATGCGTTTATGTATATGTATGTATGTGTGTATATATATTTATGTATATATGATATATTTTTATTTCAATTTTTCTTCCTTATTACTCAATAGTTATTTTTCTTTCACTTTCTATTAACTTTCGTTCAATATTCCATAATTTTTCTAAATAATATATCTCTCGTACCTATTTAGGCTTCTAGCGTTTTAGTTCAAACTTCGTCTGATAACCGTTAGAGATGACGCCACCTTCACATCTCTTCTCTCTCCCCCTCCCTTGTAACGACTTTATTCTCCCCTTGACACTTAAGGAGAAAGGTAGTACTTCTTTTATTTCTTTCTTATTTCAGCTTTCTCAATTTCTTCCCACCTTCCTTTCATTCCTTTTCTCTGTTTTTAACTCTTTATTATATTATACATTGTCTGTACATCTTGATAGACTTTACAATATCTCAATTTTCTATCTAACTACTCCATTCTCAATGTTTTAATTTTACTATTTATTTTATTTTCATTTCTTATATAACTTTATATTTCTTTTTTATGTTTTTACATTTTATTCTAAGATTCCCAATGTAACACTTTTGTCACCCCTTTTTGATTATGCCTACTTCATCATTCCACACTATGTAACAGTTTTTATTATTTATCTCTTAGTTCTTAGTCATTATTCTAACAATTTCATTTTACTTTATATCTATCTATTTTATTTTTCTAATAATTTTTTTTTTTTTTTTATTTTCTCATTTTTTATTATCTTTTTTACCATCATTACTTATGTTTCTCATACCTTGTTATCTGGTTATTTTCTTAGCCCTGATGAAGGCCTGAACTTCAGGTCGAAACGTCGGCATATGTAAAAAATAAATATTATAATTTATTTTTTGCCTTCCTTTTTGACTGAGCACCCCAACTATTCTTCTCTTCATAAATTTATTTAAGGTTATAAACATATGCTTTATACATCCATGAAATGATTTTATATTTTACTTCTTCTTTCATACAAGTACAATGAAATGTTTTTTTAAACAATGTCATTGCCTTGATTAGGTGGATTTTAAATACTTTTTTCAAACTTAAAAATATTTTATATTTAATTAGTAAATTTCATTTAATTTCCTTGAAAACGTGTGATTAACGTTAAATAATATTAGTTTTCAAAAATTATTATTTATAATTTTTTTGCCACTCTCCGTTACCTTCTACAACTTTCTATATTAGATATTGTATTTTCTAAAATTCTCCCCTTTCCAACGATATATTATACGTATACCTTCTGACTAGTATTCCTGGAGATTAATTTTCGACCTGGATAAGCATTTTTTTTTTCTCCTTTATTCAATTATCAAATTCTTTGAAAAGTTATATTTAGCATTTTTTGGTAACTCTTAATAATGAGAGATAGTTAATTATTTAAAATAAATAATACTAAAGGTACTTTAGAGGAAGACACATATGAACATTGGACATTTAAGACCTATAAAGTGACATCAACCATGGGGATAAGACCAAAATGATATTAAAGACCACTTAATTATACAATGATACAACGAATTTAATCAAAATCGTTAAAGCCGTTTTTTGAGAAAATTGTAAAAATGTGTTTCACTGTTTACATAAAGTGGCACTTCCGGTTAGCCGATTTTAAGGAAAAAGTTGCTGTCACATCTAAGGCATATACTTATCTTAAATACGTAATATCAGTTTCGCACGACTTTTGGTTTTTGAGCTAGACTGTTAACATACAGACACACAGACCATTTTTCAGGACTTGGTTATTTGGACCCAGGGTACTCTAAAACATGTATTTCCGTTGAAAACTCAGATTCAAAAATTTTCATGATCGCAATACTTATCCTTACTATATATTACATATATACATACATAAGTGAAAGTAAAAAAAAAAAAAGATCAATTACCTAGTTCAATTATTATGTTCAATATACATACTATTCAATCTGAATATTTAAATGCTAAATGAAATATTATGTTGATTGGGCAGAAGGGAATGGATAAAGGAAGGTTTACCTTCTAAATACACAAAAGGTGATTTTATAATACTTACAGCATATACACCACCTTTATGAGCAGGGCTGCCCACTTCTCCAACTAAATCTGCAGTTGTACCATCATATATGTATACTTTTCCATCAAATCCAGCAGATGCAAAAAGATTTCCTGATGGAGAATATCGCACTGCTTGCACAAACCTGGTATGCTCCTATTGAAAAAAGTACAATTAAATAATGATTCCATCACAGATAAAATTTTCTTAATATATAAGATAATTATGGTAAAGAGAAATTTTGATAATCTATAGTAGCCAATACAAGAAACAGATAAATTGTAAATTAAAATTTACACTTCAAGTTCAAACTGCTACTGTAGATTAAAATAACAGTTGCAATTTGTTGGAAATAGTTGTTTTACGTATTTTGGATTGTCATAACTATTTAGAAATAGAACTTCTACAAATAGATTTAATTTTAAATGAAATAAAACATAGCTAAAATTTAATCTAATTTATTAATTGCTTCACATTTTGGTGATAAATACCACAACATTAGGCTAGAGAAACTATCAGGTATATAAACGTGAAACCAGAATAGAAAATACACATTTACAACAATGTTAACAAATATCTTATTCGAAATATTGTCTATTGCTAGTTATACATTTTTCCCATCTCTCTGATAATTTACGAATAGCCAGGCCAGAAAAATTGTTGCTTTGTTGTGATGAACCAATCATTAAACCATTTTTGTACAATTCCATAAGAAGTGAAGCACTGTTAAGCAAGTGTGTGCCCCATCAATGCAAATAAAAAGTTGCCGAACGGAATCAAATTTGGTAAGCTGCATATGCTAATATGCATCTATGACCTAATTCCAATATAACTCATATTAGTTGAATATGAACTTAACAATGAAGCAAGAAGAAAAAGTGGAATTAACAACAAAAATATGGTTAATAGAAAAGGGCAATCTATTTAAGCTAATTCATTTTCAGATTTTCTAGTAAAAGTATTTCACTATTCTTCCATGTAAATTTATCAATATATATATATATATATATATATATATATATATATATATATATATATTGATAAATTTACATGGAAGAATAGTGAAATACTTATACTAGAAAATCTGAAAATGAATTAGCTTAAATAGATTGCCCTTTTCTATTAATATATATATATATATATATATAGTATTTCTTTTGGTACACTTTGGAAACAAAAATATTTCAACTAAGCACACTTCTTTTTATTGTTATTTGTTACTTATGTGTCATTGCATAACTGGTTTGTGATAAATAAATATTTTTTACAAATATATATATAATTCGTAATATGCTTGTTCAATATATCTGTAAAGCTTTAACATAAGGACGATTATTAAGGTTTAAGAACTAATAGATTATATAAAATATAGCAAAATAAATGTTATCACCAAATTACAGAAAATAAATAAATAGCAAACATCGTATTAGTGATTTAATTTTGTTTTCTATTAGCCAACAGGAATCTATATGAAGGACAAAAAAATTCATGAAACAGAGAAATTAACAAGAATTTTAGAATCCCATACAAATTAAAAAACAAGCAGCATTCATAAATAATACTACTTGTATAAATAGAATTTCATATATCTAGTTCTTAATATAAGCTAAGAATATCTTGGAATCTATTCAGACTGTTGGGAAATTACTAAAATTTAAGAATATCTAACAGAAATAGCTATTTATTTAATTAAAAACTGTTATGATTATAAATAATAATTAACAGTTTGGATAATTTAATTCTAATTTCATAAGAATTATTACATCAATTATTATTTATTTTATATTATTAAACATAAATTTAAATAAATACACTTATTATAATTAAATGAATTACGATCATTTAAAATTAATTTTATAGTAAGTTTGCCTGTTTCATTATATCCAAATATCATTCAAAATGAAAACGTTATGTAACATCTATTAGTGATTTTCATAGATTAACTTTAAATGTGAAATAAAGAATGAATATAAAATGGTTTCCATATGGTGTACTATATTGCATAGTTTTTATAAAATCTAAACATAATTATTATATTCTTAACATATAAATCAAAATAAATGTTTTAATTCATTTATTAACTCAACCAAAACTTGTTTACATACTAATTAATAAAAACATATGTTCTTTTTAAAACAATATGATATATACAATTAAATTGTAACAGAAAATATGAACTAATTTACATTCCCCTAAAACACCCAAAATATCAAATTTAGAATATGCTACAATAATATATATATTTGTACTACCTGTTTGGTCATTTTGAATTTGAAAGGGGGTCCTTCAAAAATGCCTATTGTGTTATCTTCTGATCCAGTGATAATTCTAAAAGGCCTAACAGGGCGAAAATCACAAGAATTGATAGGTTTTGATTGACCAGCAATTTCACCCACAGAAGTACCAGTTTCAGACATGAAGACATGACCAAATCTATAACACAAGTAGAAAGTAAATAATCTTTTATTTGAAGAAAACCCTAATAAAGCTTAACATTGAAAGATGATTATATTTGGATGGGAAGTCACGTATAAAATTTAATCAAATATCGGTATTTATTAGATTTTAAAGCAATTCACAGCATGGCAGATATGATGTTTACCCACGTATGACCATGAAAAAACAGTAATAAACAATTATAATTGTATGAAAAATTACTAATGAAACCTACTTTATTTTGAATAGATTTTAATAAATATATCAGGAAATTATATAATTTAGGGAAGCAATTTATTTCTATATCAATTAATACATTTTGATTTATTTTAAATAAATAAATATTTCAGAAATGCATATTTTTGTCCAATCCAAAATATTTTATTGTTACTTACTGTTTTAAGAATTACATATTAGAAAATACTGAAAGAATTTTTCATAACATAAATTACTGTAATTTGAAAAAAAATAGATTAAAAAATACGGATGACAAGAACAAATAATTCAAAATCCAGCTCAAAGGGTAAGGCAATCAAGGTCTTTCCATATAATTGAAGGATGTTTCACCATGAATAATTAATCTTCAAAAATATTTTTTCAAAAAGACCTACCGTTCTCTTCCTTCCCCAACAACAACCATTCTCTGGTTGTCAGGAGACCATGATATGTCTTTTATTGGACCACCTATAGGCTGGAATTCATTTTTCATGAGATGTTCCTTATTAACTGTATCCCAGATCCTAACTTTGCCAGATTGATCTGTAATAAAAGAAAATAATCTCTAAAGAAATCACAAAGTATTATCATAACTTTAAAATAGAGTGTAGTAAAATAATCGATCTTATTTTCCAAGTATAAAATACATTATTTTTATTAAATAAAAAAATATCAATTAATCACATCTTAGAACGAAAAAAAAAAGTTAATGTTAAATGGTTTTAATAGGGTGTGAATCCTTATAAGGAACTAATAGAGTGGAAAGCCATATATGGTAATCTTTATCAACTCCACCTGGCTACCTACTCATATATTTGAGTACATCAAGCAAACAATAAAAAATAAACCAAGCATTCATTAAGACTGTAACTGCAATGAAAAATTTATTTAAGCATTCTAGGAATCAAATTCTAGTTTCTTACAGTTACAATAAGAGGCTACAAAACATTTAAAAATCAATATAAACTATAGAATAGTTATAAGTAAAACATTATAAAAATTATTTTTTAATTAATCAATTAAATTTTCTTAAGTGATAAAACTGATTAATAAATATGAATTAACAAATAACCTACACAAAATAGTGTATTTATTTTTTTAGAATGCAATAAAATCATTATTACTAATTATTCATTCCTCAATTCAAATATGGTCCATAACACATTAATTAATAATAAATACAATAGGTAATACTATTGACACCAGAACAAAACAAGAAGGAATTTTAAGTGAATTGGTAAAAATAAACTTACCTCCAGAGGCAATATAAAAACCACTAGGAGAGTATTTTGCTACATTCACTGCACATGAATGCTCCGTATAAATGTCAGCAATTGCTGGATTCTAAACATATCAGTACCAATTAATAGTATAGACTTAATTTATATTAAAAAAAGTGTATACATTACAATTTTATAAAACATGGAAATGGTTAGGTGAATGTTATTTTAAAATTAATAATTACATACATCTTTTTTTCTTATATTATTTATTAATTGTTTTTTACAAGTTAAATATTAATACATTCTTCATTATCTAACATTAAGCAGAACTTCCACTTAGGGCTCTGAATATTTTAAATGAAAATATAATTAAGATAGTTTACTTCAATTTTATCAATCAAGATACAATTAATCAAAGAAAATTGTCTATAATCCAATAGATAATTAATTAATTTAAATGAATGGGAAAAGGATATTTTTATGATTGCAAATTCAATTCTATATTTGTAGTCTACTTTCCTTTATCTATGTTTACTTATTAAATTTTACAGCAAAAACTATTTCTTTAAAAAGAATCAACAGGTTGTGAAAGTATAAAGTTATGCAAATCATTCAGGATTTTAGTAAGGGGTCTGAGTTGTCAAAAAGTATTGAACGAGATATGAATTAATTCCAAAGAAGGAATAATGAACTACTGATATTTAATTAAAAAATAGAAACTGGAATTGCAAATTACAGTATGTCATGACAGATAGGAAATTTAACAATGCTAAGAGTACAACACATAATACTATGCATGACTGAGTACTTACATCTATATTTCTAATTATCACACTGTTGCCATTTGTGTAAAGGAAATTCTTCCCTTTAGGATCACCACCTAATACAATAGGTGCCCCTCTCTGAGTTCTAGGAAGTGTTGCATAAATGTACTCTAGAAAGAATTTCAAAATACTTCAAAAAACTATTTTATATTTAATGACACAGTAGGATTAATCATGGTTACCAATAAATATAAATATAATAGTAACACGAAATAATATACTTTTAAGAAAATCAAATGCAAATGATAACCGAAAAAGAATAAAAATATATCATATGAAATGAAAGTTTAAAAAACCGGCTTGTCGTTGAGGTTATAAACAAACAGTTAAACAAATGGTAAATGAAGTGATAAAGACTTACTTGTAGAATATGACATTTTTAACTAACTTATTTTACTGGTGAGATAACAGTATGCTTAAACGAGATATTATCGAAGAATCCAGTAATAATAAACAATCTTCCCCTGACAGATAAGAACGATAGTTTTCCCCTTCCCTTATTTGGATCGGAGTAGAATTTCTGTCCCGTCTGATGGCAGCACACTTCAGCGACGATTAAAACAACTGTGGAACTTGTATACCCCTACATGCATTTTCTCATGGGACATGATTATTTTTTAATACTATTTCATTGTGAGTAATTAGACTTGAAAGCACGACTCTTTTTTTTTTTTTTTTTTTTTAAAAAGTGAACTTCTCTATATTCGTGTTTCCGATTTTATGTTATGATACTTTTAGGTATTTAAGTGATAAATTTAAAATATAAACAAAAATTATAGATGGTAACCTAAAAAAGGTTTGATTCTGTTATGTTAATTTATTTAATATACATTTCTTTATTTGACAGCTTGGAGACATGACAAGCTTGAAGAAGGTAAACTATTGGTTACAGTTGTTTACATTTGGTGATGTTCTGTATTTCCATAACTGCCAGGGAACTTGAATTACATGAAAAGTTAATGAATGAGTTCAAACAATTGCCGACAAATTCCCTTTAGTTTTGTCATAATAGTCAGTAATTTATATACTTTTATCAATTTTATTACTCTCTTCTCACCAAGTCATTTTTTGTCATATTTTTTTATTATTTTAGATGCTAGGAAGAAAAAAGGATACCAAAAGTGGGTTATTTTGTTGGTGTCTCTCATCATATGCATCTGAAATTCACAGTTATCTAAAAAAAAAAGAAATAAATGTTAGAAGAATTCATTTTCGATCTCCTCAGGTATAACACAGTTCTTTTATTAATATAGAATCATAATTTTACTTACCTTAAATGATCTTGTAAGTTTTGTTTCAGTTAAAGTTTAGACCCGGACTAATAGATTGGATAAGATCCCTTTCTGTCAAAATGAAGTTTACTACGCTGACTGTTCACTTAGGAGTACGTCTAATAGATGTTTTTATGGATAGTCATAATATTAAACAAAGCCGTCTTCCTTCTATATGCTTGATTTGCCTTTTAATTGCTGGTAAGTGTTAATTAATCACTTTTCTTTGAAATATTATTATAAAACCATATTTCAACAACTTTGTTGATGTATATGTGACATTTTAGCAAAATTTGAAGAAGAAGATTCCATGATTCCAAAATTAACAGACCTCCCATCGTTTGTTAATGATGAAACAACCAAGGAAGATTTTGTGTACCTTGAATTTTATGTACTTGAATCATTTAATTGGTTTGTAGGATTCGCTACTGCTGCACATTTTGCAGAATACTATTCTTTGTTTGCTGTAGTGAAGGGTGATTCAGATCATTTTGAAACTTCACATCGTCATTTACAAGATTTAGTGCAATCAAGCATGAAGGATTTTTTAGACATTTCTCTAACAGGTAATATTTTCTTAGTATTAATGTTAAATTTTGGTTGTGTATATGTGTATGTATTAACATAATAGGTTCTGTATGGTTGAATGGGTAAATGATGTTGAACACTTTTGAGCCAATGAGTTAGGGGTGAGCTAAGATCCTGTGATGGCCTAGTCCACAATTTCCATCTGTTTCAGTTACTATTCATTTCTCAGCTGTGAAATAAATTTTGACACTCCATGTTCTGGTTGGTGAGGGTCAGCAAACTTTTATTAACCATCAAGGGCTAGTAAGATAAAATGAACCACAAGATCACTTGGGCTGACTAGTTCCCCCTCCCTCCCAAATACTTGTACCAGTACCAGTGGAGGAAGCAATTAGCTATGACTGATCTATTGTTTTTCCTGCAACCATATGCACTAATGTCAGCAATTCGTAAGCTTAAAAATGAAATAAAGATTTGTGTTTTATGCTAGTATGATGAAAGTATAAAAAACTAGAAAACTTGATTTTGGCTTTACTCCTTTAAAGTAACCAATAAGTGTGTTTGAATTAGTTAAGTTGGTTAATTCCTATTAAATTTATCAACATTGTGACAAACTTAAATGAACTACTATTCAGTCCAATAATTGAATGCCAATTATTTTTAAACATCATACTAATTTATGACGAATATTATGTTGATTATAAAAATTGTTGAAATTCTTTTCCTTTTTCGTTTCTTTAATTATAGTTTATAATATGCCTTTCTTTTGCAGAAACAATAGTTAATGAATAAAACATCAATGGATCAGTTGAATGAAAGAGGTTTGTTGTACACCAAATATTCATAAAAATAATTGCATGTCATACTAATTGCTTTTGAAAATGCTTTTAATGATTTGTCCAACTGCTTATGATTTAAAAACATGTAGGCTTAAAGATTAGCACTCTTGCTTAATTATTCATTTATTCTATTATGTTGTGAAATGTAACTATGTCAAAAATTTGATTATTATCATTCGATATAATTTTATTAGAGATTTAAGTTTTGTTCATATTATTGTTTTCTTAGATATGGAGTGCTTTTTTAAATTTATTTTATTATTTTATAATAAGCAAAGAAGATACAGCTAGAAGAGTATTATGAGACTTTAAGAGAGAGAGAAATACTTTATTTAAAGCAGTGCTGCCCTACTATATAGGGTTGCTCGATACACAGTATACTCATCAATCCTTTTTTTTTTTTTGGACACAGCACTTAATTATACTTAATCATACGTTTATATATATATATATATATATATATATATATATATATATATATATATATATATATTGTAATATTTTTTATTTTATCTCTTATTTATCTCTCTGTCTGTCTGTCTGTTATTGCCGACGTTTGTCTTTTAAAATCTGAAATCTGTCCTTCTAACCTTTAATCTTTCTGTTAGTCAATTAACCTGGTATTCGTGTATCTATTTAAGTTTGTAAGAATGGGGTGTACAAGCTTAGATAGGATGAGAAGGATAAGGTATATAAGGTAAGACCGCCAAGAATGATAGGGGGACAACCCCTACACATCCAGGGCTCTGCAACCGAGGAGGCAATCCCCTGACGTTGCGAGGATAGGATAAGGTAAGACCGCCAAGAATGATAGGGGGACAACCCCTACACATCCAGGGCTCAGCAACCGAGGAGGCAATCCCCTGACATTGCGAGGATAGGTAACCCTACACTCCCAGGGACAACCTGGAAGATGCAAGGGGGACTGTAGGAAAACAAGGGCCAACCAAGTTATTCCTACGAAAGGAGAGAGGAGGTAGGTTAGGAGAGAAAAGAGAAGGAGGAAGGTAAAACCAAAAAATAACACATTGGTCTGGTTTCAAACTGTCAGACAGAGAGATACCAGGAGCCTATGTGAGAAGGTAGTGACTCGGGAGAGAGTGCCTGCCCTAGGAATCAGGCCAGTATTTAAACTAATAACCAGCCCTCAGACCTGTTTTCAGGTTGGTGAGAGGCTACACTAGTAACAATTATTTTAACTAGGCCCTGAGATCTCTAAGTCCAAACTCCTCTTATTTTTATTTAATTATAGTACATGAATACTTATTTTAAAAATATTACAAACATTAGTTATTTACAAAATCAGTAATTACAAAAAGAAATAATAAATAGCTTCAAAATGAAATTCATAGTTCACTAGGAAATTAACAGATTGCGCTACTAAAATTATTAATCATTATTAGAAAAAGAGAGTATATGGAGAAAACAAGAAAACAGAGTATATGGTTTTCAACGCTCCAAATTTGCCCCTTGAAATTGATGACTGGACGCTAAATGTCAGCCAGCAGTTCAAGTACCTCGGATACTGGCTATCTTCAAAGGGTGGTAGTGAGGTTGATATCGAACATAAAATAAATAATGGGAAAAGAATAATAAGTTCGATAAATTCAACCCTATGGAGTAAAGAGATAAGATTAGAAACTAAAAAGAAGATGTACCATTCCTTTGTAGAAAGCGTAGCCACTTACGGATCAGAAGTCTGGACACTGACAAAAAAGATGGAAAATAAGTTGCTTTCCATGGAAATGAATTTCTGGAGAAGAAGCTGTGGCATATCCAGAATCGAGCGGATCCCAAACGCAGCTATTAGAGACAAGGTCGGATGTCAAAAGAACATCCTTCACCTGATCGGGACCAAACGGTTAAAGTGGTATGGCCACTTAATGCGGATGGATGAGAACCGCTGGCCAAAGAAAATCTATAACTATATGCCACCTGAAAGAAGGAAGCGTGGAAGGCCAAAGAAGAAATGGACAGAGGACGTGGAGGAAAGCATGGCAGCCAGAGGGCTTCGTGAAGGAGATTGGATGGACAGGGAGCAGTGGCTTTTGGGTGTTGGGGATATGACTCCTTAAGTTGTGCAAAACCCAAATAAAAAAAAAAAAAAATTAGAAAAAGCAATGACTTGCATAAATGAATTAAATAGTTAATTAGAACAACGCCTAGAGGGCGCCACGCGCAACCTCCAAAACACTATACCACTAATCATTTACAATTCAACCTTTGACAGAGAAGGACCTCCCGTCCGTTAGCTCTAATACATTGTACCTTTTAATCCTTATCGCTAGTTAAATGTTATTATTGTTTGATTTAATTTCAAATTAAATCACAACTAAAATTAATACAATACCTAGAAATAAATTAAATTTATAAATATATTACATATAAATGCTCCTTTTTACACAGTTCAATAAAAGAACAAAACGTGAACATGAGTTCTATTAACAATTACAATTTATAAAGGCCCTAATAAAATATGTTACAATATATATATATATATATATATATATATATATATATATATATATATATATATATATATATACAAATTCTTTTTCATATTACACAGCACAAACAATATCAATACTATTATATACTAATACAAACAATTACAATTATACAATATATGATATATACATGTTTCGGTGAAACCCTTACAAGACAATTTTTGAAATTTATATGGCAAAAAAAACAAAAAACATGGTATTCGAATGGCAAAGTTTTAAAACCAGGAAATTAGAACACACACACAGCAAGTAACATAGTCGTATGAACATAGATAAATAGATATGGTCACTTAAATAATTTAAAATTGAATAAATAAATAATGATAATCAACCCCTAGTTACCATATATGTGATAGTGAATGATCCCAAGGGAGTCCAGAATAATTTCCCGCTAACACTGCAAGCTCCCCGACATCAACACCTAGTTCCTCGAAGAAGCTCCTGTTCTTTTAGGCATCATTCCGGGAGACCCAAACCAGAGGCTTCTTACAGTGAACTCTCTCTCTCATAAGGTCTCGTGGAATTTCTCTTTTATGAAAGGGATGCATTTCTCGTAGATTTCCTTCTTTTCTCTTTCTACTTCATTGGATTGATTGAGGTCATTGCTTTCATATCAAACAGTTGCATCCAAGACCAGTGCTTCCTTTCCGGTCCTAGAGAATGCAACTATATCTGCGTATCTTGTTGATCCATCACTATCGTACAATAGACCTCATCGAAGCATATGAATTCCCTTTCCCTAAGGAGCCTCATCAATTCGAATTTTACCTTATGGTGCCGGCGTGCATTTTTCCCAACACATGGGCTGGTGTCTCAGACTCTCTGCCCCATTTGCGACTGAGGGACCCAACTTCCTTAGACTGTCCACTGGCTCCTGGGACTCCACGCAACGGTGGTTCGTTGATGTTAAGTTTTAAGGTGTTGTACCATTCTGACCTCGAAAGTACTTGCTTCTGGCATATATATTTATTAGTGTTCGGAGTCTCTTTGAAATATCTAACTCCAACGCCTTGCCATCTGCAACTGGCCCATTCTTCAAAACAATTCTGTCTCAGCTACTGTCGTAGAGCTCTCATGCTTCGGTAGCCCTGATCAACACCCACTCCCTCCGCACATTCGGCTATTTCAGTGTTATAATAAAATATAGACTGGAACAGGACATCCGGTACACTGGACAGTCGCTGGGCAATGGACCAATGTTGCAAAGGAGCCTCCCATTGACAGCGGATCAGTCCCAATCATCGATACCTCCTTGGTGCATATAACATCGCCAATGATGTATTAGCGGGGAGCCCTATGATCGCCTTGATACTGCGGATATTTACATCAATCTCCTCCAATAACGCAGGACGTATCTTTGTAAGGGGCGCCGTCTGGAGGGGATAGGTAAGTACCGGGAACACATATTGATTAACTACATTGGTCTTCTGTTCCGGTTTTAGAAGGCAAGAGCTCACCAATTTATCCAAGTTATCGTTAATTTTTTTTATCTTTTCCTCATTTATTACTAGCTCTCCCGAATATTTTATAGTATCATTGCCTTTGATGTATGAATGACTTCTTCATTCTCAAGGGAGAGCTTTGTTTGTTGTAGCTCTCCTTTATCCATTATTAGGCCCACGCTTTTCTTTGGATTAATACCCAGACCAATCTCTGTGAGGATCATCTGTACACAGTTAATTATCCTTTCTG